TGTTGAAGTCTACAGATCGATATCCTCTAAGTGAAGCCCTAAGCTTATGTGAACGTGCGAAACTTGTACCAGAAACTGTTTATCTGCTGACTAGAGTTGGGAGACGTCACGATGCATTGCAATTAATTATGACGAGGGTAGGTAATCACTTTTGATAAATTAGATCCCATAACTTATTCTTCTTTATAATTAAAAAGAGCAAATTCTTTATTTTAGTAAACTGTGGGGGCAAATATATCCACTGGTTTAATTGAATGAATAAAATGTAATTCTTTGGGCCGAAAAACCATTTTGAAGCAGGTTTGGACATTTTATGTCATATAGGTAATCACTTACTTTCGAACTTATACTTAATAAAACCCACATATACATGAGAATGCGGGGCGGTCGTCAAGCTCCTCTAATAACTATACCTCGAAAATTACTCTCAATAAAATATATGATTGGTATCATCTGGTTGTAGTAATCCATTATATAGATAGACTTTTTAAAATACTGTCAGTCAGTCAGTAACAACGTAGAACTTCGTACGCACATACATCAGTTCGAGTTGCCACACCACATTAGCACAGAGATGCACTTGTCGATTCAAATCACGTAGTGGTAGAGGTAATAAGAGTATAAGCAGTAATCGGGAAGATTAGGGTTTGGAGATGTTATTTAAAGAGTATAATACAGTGAAATAAATTTGGAAAGAGGAAAAAAGGGACATGAATAATTCAGAAGATTAGAATTTGGGAGAACACAGAGAGTAGATGCACCTGCGCCATTGCAAACGATTTTGAGCCATGTCATTCAGGGTCTCTAACCATCGGTTGCTATCATCTCGCGGTCCCCAACCAGGTAGCCTACACCTGCCAACATGACTCAGTCCACTTGTCAGTGACTTCATGGACTTGTGCCATGTTTTGGTTTGGCCGCCTCTAGCTTTCTTCCAACCTACTCCTATACCACTGAACATAGCACGTCGAGGCAGTCGGTCGTTGGGCATACGTAACACATGTCCCAGCCATCTCAACTGATGAAGTTTCACTACTTCATCAATTGATTTGCCATCCTTATCTAGTACCCGTTTCCTAACAACTGTGCTACTTACTCGATGGTCTCAGGATATGCGAGCAATATTTCGAAGACACCTATGATCAAATACTAGTAACTTACGGATATCCTCTACTCTTACCGGTCATGTTTCACTGCCATAAAGTAGGACGGAACGAACTGCTGCGCAGTAAACACGTCCTTTGGTTGATAGACGGATATCTCGCCTACGCCATAAATGACGCAAGTTGGTAAAAGCTAGTCGAGCCTTCTGTATCCGTGCTGAGATTTCGTCACAGACCAGACCACAAGGGCTAATGAGACTTCCAAGATAAGTGAAGCGGTCGACACACTCAACTACTTCACTCCCTATCACTAGTTCGGGTGTCGATGCAACCCAATCCTGAAGTAACATTTTGCATTTCGAGGGAGAGAATCGCATCCCGAACATGCTTGCATTGTTGCTTAGAGTGGTCAGAAGACTCTGCATTTTGTCAGCGTCTTCACCAAATAAAACTATGTCATCAGCATATTCTAAGTCAACAAGTGAACCTCCCGGTAGAAGTTCAACCCCTGGAAATTTAGATAAGGAGAGTGTTATCTCTAAAAGTACGTCGACCACAAAGTTGAACAAGAATGGGGAGAGTGGACAGCCCTGACGAACACCACTTGAGGTAATCAATTCTGATGACAGTTCGCCTTTTAAAATACTGTCGTTGAGATTAACTTCTGTTCATCAAGAAATGCTGCAAACAAATTTAGAAAGTGTATTTGCCAATAGTTCAGGTTCTCATGTAAATGTAGTACCAATTGAAAAATAACATTTGCGAAGTATGGTTGCGTAATACAAATCTTATTAAATATTATTTTTAAATTTTAAGACAACTTATGTTTACAATTTTTGGATCGCAATAATGTATTATCCCCTGTGAAATTTGAGTTTTCTACTGAGTAGTAGATATCTCCATACGTTTAGAATAGAAATCAGTAATACTACTAGGCTATTACTTCATTAATGTTTATATTGTATTGTGTAGATTTGTGCAAGAGCTTAGACTGATTGACGAGTTGTTATACCACTCTGGTTGTTTGTAAGTGACTCCCGTTTAATCACCACAATATAACTGCATTTAGTCACAGAGTATTTTCTGTTATTATATAATCGATTCGGTGTATTCTTTCTACTCACACTAAGCTTTATATTGTGTGACGACAGTTTAGTTGTCACTATTTAGGACGCGTACTGTTGATCATAACCTATGTACAATGTTGACTAAGATCACTTATTTTTTAAAATATTCTTGAATTTGTTAACTGTCCATTGCATTTTTATACATAAAGATGAAGTTGAAAGAAAGCTGTAGTCGCCTGTTCTTAAAGAACTACTGAGCTATCACTTCTGTGACATCCTATCTTTTCTTTTAACTTCAAACATCATCCCTATGAACGAAACAAAATTTCCCATAGTCAACTCATATAGTCTCTTTAATGAAATACGCGACTTCCATTAGGCGATATTTGTTTTACCAAAGCGTTGTTTACATTTCATTACACAGGGAGGCGAAGACTCGTTAATTGGAGAGTCTACAACTCCGGAACAGCGCCAAGCTATAGCTGCTGCAAAGTCGATCGAATACTGCCGAGAAGAAGATGTTATCCACGCGAAAAATCGTCGCCCTTTCCATAGACATCGTAATATGAATAATTCAAATTGTAGCAAGGATTGCGATGAAGACGAAGGTGATGAAAATGCCGGTGAACTATGGCAACAGGTTATTTTATTTGCGGCGGATAAACCTGCTTTCATATGTGCATTACTACAAAATGCAGGCTGTGAAGGTCTTGATTCACGTCTGCTACTACGTAAAATATCACCAGACATGACTATACCTGGACTCCGTGATGCAATTGTCAAGCTTATGCATGATTACAAGGTAGGTAGTACTTGTCATCATCCAGAACTAGTTGAAGAATTGCACGAAATTACATATTTTAATTCGCTAAATGTAAAGTATCTGAATCATGCTGCATTATCCGTGTATGTGGTATAAATGTTAATTTACATCGGTAGTGAGTCGTAAAATCAGATAGGACATTTATCTCGTTTTGGTTCTACTATGTAAAAATGTTAACTGGAAAACCATAGACTTTTCATCTATATTATAGTTACTGAGCGATAGACCATTTCTTCTCTTTAATGGGGGTTTTAGTAATAAAGGTATTGAGGAGGTCCAGAATATTTCTCGGAAAAAGCCCCGAGGACCCTGGAATTACTGGGAAACATTTTATCCAATCAACATTGAATAAAAGTTTCTCGAAAACATCTAGTAAGTGAAGAGTCACACGTCACATTTCTGGTTGGATGATTACCTATCCTGCTATGTTTATAATATGGTTCCAGAACCTTCCAAAGCCCAAGACCATCTGAAATTCTATAAATACCCTCAATTTTCTCTACATAAACTAACCTTAAAACAAAGCATGCTTTTCACACTTCGGGCCTTTTTTCTCGCGTTCAAGTTGTCGTGTTATTTGAAGAGCGTTCAGTTAGAATATCTATCAAAAGGAGTAGTGTTCCCTTAGGAGTAACAACATATGAAACCCAATGTTAACTTGTCTTTAATGAACTGTTCACTGTCAACGCTTTATAATTGGCACAGGCTTCTTCAAAATGTGTTGTGTTCTTGTCTTTTGTTTTCAGTTTGGGCGAAAACGACATTTATTACTGTTTAAACAAGTTTGTTGATCTTCAAGCTTTTTATTTAAATTATCTTAACAGCAAATATCGTCGAAAATAAGATTTTCTTCGCTGAATTGTATTTATATCTTCAATGACACAATGGGTTATTTTTGTTAGATCTTAAAAGAACTAAATGAATTATTTTAGGAAACTGCCTACCATAAACCAAATAAATTGATATATACAAGGTGTTTTTTGCAGTCGTTTTACAGATATTAGATGCAATGTAGTGAGTTGACGAAACAATTCCAAAGCCTAGAAGAAATTGTTTGAAACAGGAAAAGATTAACTTTCCAAGTATTGCGAGTTTGATCTTAGTGTCACTGGGTAACAATCTCCATGTAATTAAGCTTCAGAAAAACTAAATATTAATAAAATTTTCAGTGGTGCCCCCTTGTACCAATATTTATGTGTTCAAATAAATATTAATATCTTTGATGCGAGTATCAGTTTTGCATATCTACTTATAATATTCATCAGAATTTGCGGTAAAATGACTTGTCTTGTCCTGTTTCTAGATTCAACTTGAACTGCAGCAAAGCTGTTCACGCATTTTGTCATCAGACATGCATAAGCTATTCTTACGTGTTATCAAAATGCAAATGAAAGGAATTCGTGTGAATTCAAGTGCTTGGTCCTCTACTGGATGTACAGTGTGTCTGCAACCTATATTGAACAATAACGGGCAATCATGGCGAAGTACAAATCAATTAAAATGTGATGTGAATAGTCAAAGCAACGAAGAAAATCATCGGTCATGGGCAATTTTCAATTGTAATCATATTTGTCATGGAGACTGCTTGTCTAATGGAGAAACGAAATGCCCTTCGTGCTCAAAATCACGTATAATATAATCCGTACTGATAATTGACAAAAGCTCTGAACTTTGTGATTTATTTTACCATTTTAATTTACAAAAGGGAAAATATTCCGCAGACTATTTTTTTAAAGTTTGATCATTATTATTTTTTCTTTTCAATACAAAAAAAAAGCAAATTATTTTTATTGTTGAAATCAATTTATTGTTTTATGTGAATTTTATAAAATATGAACAAAATTAAAGTAAATTAATTAGTAATCAAAGTTGTGACTTAACTACGAGAATGCGAAATTCAACACAATCAACACTAATCTCAATGTTAGTTATCCGCTCATAAACTAAACATAGCAAACAAATTGTTTTATGTAGCGAAAGATACATTACCAATAAGTTACAGTCGGTTCATTCAACTTTGATTCAACAACAGAAATGCAAATGATTAATTAACATCTAGCGTATCACAGTATTTTTATGATTTTTTAAAAGTCTACCGGAATAATTTTGACTAGGATTGACTTTAGCAAGCAAAATTTAACATGTAATAAACATGTTAAGTACAAAATATCTTCCTACATAGAATTTTGCGTAACTGATACACTAGAAACAGTCACAGATGATTTGTTTGGAAGGTCACCAACAGTTGACGATTCTGTGTGCTTATGAACCTGCTTAGGTTCATAACGGTGCATACTTCTGGCTGCACGTGTATGGGGAGAAAAAGAATCACAACTATCATTGTCCTCCTCGTCATCACCAAGTTTATTTATCTCACATTCGCTGGCAGTAGAAGCAGGATTATTGAATAACTTAGAACAATCTGCATTATCATCTTCATGTTCACCCGTCGAGAGGTCGGAACATACACTGTTTGATTGCAGACCCTACAATATGAAATAAAACAATCACATAATATGAATCTTCATTCGTGAACGTACTTATGAGAAGCTTAGTTTTAATTAGTAACTTTCTTTAGTTATCGTGAATACGATACGCGTACCTTTGCAGGAGCTTCAAGATCTGTTTGTTCATACATTTTGTTATCAGCATAAGCTTCTCCTTTCTCTTTGACCCCATTTCCATTAGTTTCAAGTCCTTTGTCTGTAATCTGTTGCACATAATTCTTGAGTCGGCGATCGGATTTTCTGTACAATATAATTTCCTAAACGAAAAGAATTTAAATTATATTAGTACCAGTTTATTTGAGTACATACATTAAGAGTAATAAAACTTAGTCTGATCGGTCTATTTGAAGTACAGTAAATGTCAGAAAATCATTAGATGTAGATACAATGATCGGTTAGATGAGAGCACGTATTATAGCTAGTGTTGGACAACTAGATATAATATTTTCCCCTAAACACCTTAAGTACGCCCGAAGGTAAGAAGAATCTACTCTGCCTCTTGAAACGTTCTCATTTGGTCACGAGTTATTTTGACTCTTCATCATGGGAGTGTTTCACAATGCCTTGAAATGGAGAGCGAAAAGTGGGCATCCATGGTTTAAACTAGGTCAGTAGGTCCATCTTGGCAACTTGAGAAACCCTGATTCCGAACCAATGGTGCAGACAGGCTGTAGGGTCCTGAGAGATCAAAGGACGTATGAATTTATTTGATCACTGGGTTCCAAGGAACTGAACCACCTGAAATCGCTCCAACCCCTGTAGCTAAGTCGAAGGCTATGGGACTGGTTCCATAATAAAACTCTGCTTCAGTTTGGGCATCCAAGCAGTATTCCAGCTCATATATATATATATATATATATATATATATGAAGAAAACATACTATTGAAAAAGAAAAGAGTTCTACTTTATTTAATTCTCATGACTCTTATGCCCCTTCTTACACTGATTTGAATCAGTAGCTTACGTTTGGAACTCACGTTCTGCACGAACGGTCTCAAATCGCAGAGTGGTCGATTTTCTGAGTGTTACTACAGTATACGAAGTCTGGTCCAACCCTTCTGAAGTCACGTCTGCCATTTAAACTTGTCGCTTATTACGTTTACACTTTGATGTAGACCAGTAAACAGATGAATTTAAGGATGTATTCAAAACGTTTTGATACTAATTTATATTGTATAACTGGGACCCGCATTTAAGGGACCACTAAGTTTTCTGAACATGTGTTTGGCTTCAGCATAATCCTAAGACATATGCAGAAGTTCGGCAAGCTGTCAATGGGGGCTTGAGTACAGGTCTTAAATGTCCGGCATCTGCTTCCGAATGAATATAACGAAAAACCTAGTGAATATCAGGTTAGACACTTGCGAAGTGAAGATGTAGATGTTGTTTTATTGAGGATGAGAGGACCTAGTTTGTATGGGGATACAGACGTACTGGACAATTTTCGAGACCTTACATTGACTGATGCCAATTTAGCTGGTCAGCTGTGTTTAACGAAATACGGGGAACTTGTCGACCATCTTCTGAAATGTTCTGCGAAAGGGTATCGAGCAACATTCAGTCCTACCATACCACGCAGGTCTCTTGAATAACGGTATGAATGAAAGCGGGGAATTAAGATCTAAGGTTTAAGTTGTACTGTTGACTGTAGAGAGGTGTGACAGCAATAAGACGTTTTCCTCAGATCCACTTGCAGCAGTGCTTCATTCTCACAAAGGAAGGAGTTAGAATAAATTGGCTATGAAATGTCTCACCTCACACTAATCCCACGAATTTTCGTCTCCAGGGGTAAAGCATTTAGAAATACGTAGCTAAAAAACTGAAGATTTTCCATGAAAAGTCCGCATTAGACTGGTCCCAGGAAATTGTTGTTTGGGTCTTGCGGTGACATTTTCAGGTTAATGAGACCACTAATCATTCATTTTACCTCATCCGGTGAATATGAAGAACTGGAGAGGTTTACACTTCGTGTATCTGGAAACCCCACTTCTACTTCCAAGGGCTTAGTTAGTGTAGGTATAGCGTTAAGTTCTAAAGCACAATAGGCACTCCTAAACTAGATTACAATAAATAATTGCTAGTGCGCTTCCCAACTAAACTCGGAAAAACAGGGACACATACTATTATTGCTTCGTCGTTTCTTACTATGCGTTCAGAGATTACAGTTCAGATGAAGTAAAAGACGAACGCTATATAAAGCTTTCTAACCTTCTACAAAAAGATTAACACTCAGATGTAATTATAGTGGTAGGTGATCTTGATGCCCTAGTAGGTAGTATACGCCAAACTGAAAAACATTTAGGTGGGTGGTCTTACCTTGTCACGACTCAGCAAATAGAAAATGACCGACCGCTGCAACTATGATCAAACAACTATTTAATTCTAGTAAACACTCACTTTAAGCACGAAAAATATACCGTTTAACAAAGCGACCCTCACAACTGACTCAACTATGGATTCAAAAAGACCACGTTTCCATCATCCATCTAGGGAGAACTTGATAGAAGACTGAAACCTATGATGGAACACATGTTTAAACTCGGATCATGCCCTAGTTCGAGGACGTATTTGTCTGCGTCTTAGTGGATGCAAGGAAACCATAGTAAGAAGGCGTATTAGAGTTTACCTTAACGATGAAACAGCCAAATATATTTCAAGAACAACTAGAGAGGGAGCTATTCAACTGCAAAAGTGATACCAAACCCGAGATAGCACGGTGTGATATCCAAAAAAGGTGAAAATAGCAGTGATATCTACAAGTAACTTGAACCAAAAGGTTAGGAAAAATCGATGGGTTTCAACGGGGTCCACTCAACTGATAAATGCTAAGAATTTCATCTTGACTGACACGATGAGGCGTCAGTCAGCAACAACGCAGGACTTCGTACGCACGTACATCAGTTCAAGCTGCCATACCACATTAGCACAGAGATGCAATTGTCGATTCCAGTTCCATAGTGGTAGACGTAGTAAGAGTATAAACAGTAATCGAAAAGATTAGGGTTTGAAGATGATATTCAAGGAGTATAATCCAATGAAATGAATTTGGAAGGAAAAAAGGGACATGAATAATTCAGAAGATTAGAATTTGGGAGAACATAGAGAGTGGATGCACCTGCGTCATTGCAAACGGTTTTGAGCCATGTCATCCAAGGTCTCTAACCATCGATGGTTATCATCTCGCAGATCCCAACCAGGTAGCCTACACCTACCAACATGGCTCAGTCCACTTGTCAGTGACTTCATGGATTTGTACCATTTATTGGTCTGGCCGCCCCTATCTTTCTTCCAACTTACTCCTACACCATAAAACACCGCTCATTGGGGCAGTCGGTGATCGAACATACGTAATACATGTCCCAGCCATCTCAACTGACGAAGTTTCTAGTCTTACTGGCTATGTTCCGCAGCCATAAAGTAGGATTGAACGAACACTTGCACAGTAAGCTCGTCCTTTAGTTGGTAGACGGATATCTCGCCTACGCCATAAATGACACAAGTTATCAAAAGCTAATCGAGCCTTGTATATCCGTGCCGAGATTTCGTCACACACCAGACCACAAAGGCTGATGAGACTACCAAGATAAGTGAGGAGGTGGACACACTCAACTACTTCACTCCCTATCACTAGTTCGGGTGTCGATGCAACCCAATCCTGAAGTAACATTTTGCATTTCGAGGGGGAAAATCACATCTCGAACATGCTTGCATTGGTGCTTACGGTGGTCAGAAGACTCTGCATTTTGTCAACGTCTTCAACAAAAAGAACTACTTCCCCAGCATTTTCTAAATCAAGAAGTGAATCTCCGGGTAAAAGTTCAACTCCTGGAAATTTAGATGAAGAAAGGGTTAAACAAGAATGGAGAGTGGACAGCCCTGACGAACGCCAAGTGAGGTAATCAATTCTGATGACGGTTTACCATAAGCTCTCACTCGGGCAGTTGTGTTGGAGTAGAGAGGTTAATTTACTTCCTCAATACTCCTTTCATTGAAAAACAGCCATAAAACATCATGATCGACAGAGTCAAATCCCGCCTTAAGGTCGAGAAATACTACGATTATGGGGCGTCTGAATGTACGTTTATGTTCTAGGACTTAACGTAGTGTGAATATCTAGTCTATAGAGCCACTTCAAGGTCGGAAACCAGCCTGCTTTCCTCTGGTCTGCTCTTTATGAACTTAAACGCAGGCTGATAAAAAGTCTATGTAGTGATCGTGAGTAGTGGTGGGTATTGAAAGCAGAAGAGATGGAAAAAGCAGCGGCGACAGGTAACAGTAGACAACTGTTCAGACTTACTAAGAAAACCGATATTACAAACATGTTTGTTAGTGAGTCTGAAGAAATATGGGACTATTATTCAATCAAAAAAGGAGATCGAACCGATGGGTAGAAAATATCAGGGAACAGCTCAACTGACTTTCAGCCACGCTTCAGTTACCCACTATCTCCAAACGACCTAAATGGCAAACTGATGTAAGTCCGCCAGCTCTTAGTGCAGTTGAAAAGGCTAAAACATTTGAAGCGAGGAAGAGCAGCAGAACTTAGTGTACTAAACGCTAAGATTTTTAGGGATGATGGGCCAGTTTTAACAGTAAGATTAACTGAAATATTGACTAAAAATTGGGAATTGGATTTAATCGCATCTGATGGGTCTAGATCGCTGATCGTCCCAGATTATGAGAGAGGATAAAAATCCTCTTGTGACAATCGCAAACGAATTAGTTTAACTAATGTAGTTGTCTTAGATATGAACGTGGATGTAGGAACCAAATATTCACACTTTGGCTTATTCTAGAACACAGACATATTTTTCAATGTACGACTATAGTTGTATTCAGGTCAGGTTTACTACCATCGGTTGATGCTGAAGCAACTAAAGCAGTAAAAGATAAATAAAAATTTGAAAGTGAACATTTCTCTGCCGATATTTCTTAGACAACAGCGTTCATTTTTTTCCTTGCTAGATGTAGTGACACTAACTGACACATAATTGCGTAGCGATCAACGATGCAAGTGACTATGTTAGGTGTACAATGTTATAAAAAGTAGATTGAACATACATTTTAACTGAAAGCCTATAAGTTCCCAAATCGCTTAAACTAATTATATCTCTTAATAAGTAAAAATATACAAAACAAAAGAAGAAATTTGCAATGAAAGTCAATCAAATTTATATTACATCACAGTCAACTAAGAATGAGTACCTTGAAAGACCACACTGAGGAAAATACTTGAAGAGGTATAGAAAAAATAAATACGCTTGTTTTATTACCAGGTGACATTGATAAATTTTCAAATAAAGATATAAAATCCTTACTTGCTGCTTGTAATATCGCCGATCCTCTTCATCCAACAGTACTAAGTTCAGGAAATACCTCACAGAAAACTTGCGATAAACATCACGCATAGTGGGACTCAAGCCATAAACATGTAGAAATAGTCTGATGGGAATCGACTCGCCACGTACTGGTGCACCATCCATTATCTCATATTTTCCAACAGTTTCAGTCTCCGTAAAAGCAGTAGGTCCTGCGAATAATGTAAGTATAATTTTGTGATGAACCCACCTGCACCAATGGTTTCACGCTTCAATATTTGTATCTCCATGTTTTTTATTTTAACTCTAACCAGTAGGAAGTATATCTTACCAATAATGACATCTTGTAAATGGTACCTAGACTGTTAAACATAAAGAAAGAAGAACACACTTTGACTTATTGTACTCGAATTCAATGTGTAAACTATCTTCTATCCCAACTTCCATTTGGATACTGTCACTCGATTCGGAACATCTCATTGTAGAATGTACAATGAGTTCAAGTTCTTTTGTGATATCAGCAATTCTTTTTTGAATAGTAACTCGTAAAAAATACCTGTCATTTGTAAGAAGTTACATCAAAGTTACCTTAAACGGACATTCGTTCCACAGTATGACTCGTAAGGCTTTTCAATGCGTAGGAACTCGAATGGATAACTTGTCGAATGAGAAAGTATTCCAGGACGTGCTAAATCTTGACAAAGAGCAATAAACTCTTCGCGGTTTCCACGATCTGTATACAATTCAATTTGGCCAATAAATTCGATTTTTATTCCTTGATGTTCTAGTTTTCCACCTCTTTTTAAAATAACATTTACAGATCCACAAACGTTTTCACCATCATAATAAACGGGAAGTGAGTGGATTTGGCCATCTTCATTCCTGAGTTCTTCCTTTTTTCTATGCTCCTCATCTTCCAAGTTTATTTTAATATCAACACTTTGACCAAGGCCCAAAAAGCTCTAATATAAATTAAAATCAACAGAGTAAACAGGACTGAACAAAAGTTAATGAAATATAAATGGTCACAAAAGTTTTCACTTAAAGTACTTCAAAAAACCACAGACTACATATATTTGGTTTGTCAATAAAATAAACGACAATGTTATGGAGATTTAGAAGTTAATTTCTCAAAAAGGTTAACTGTTTAACCTATGAAATCAACAGAAGCAACGATCGCATCACTCTCGAAGGACCAAAGAACTTTAACTGTGTAGAGAATTAACGCTGTAAAATTCAAACAGTAAACAAAACACCAGCTAGAATGAATTTAGGAATCGAAACAATATAGAGTGAGTACGGATAAATCAAAATTAGCAGTATCTTATGTTTAAGTTCTAGCTTGTGGATTTGATTGATTAAAACCAAAGTATCGTGCAACAAGGGTGGCATCTAATTTCGACAAGACGCGATAACCTTGTCTACTTAACATAAAGATTAAATTTAATATGAAATGGAGCAGATGATAAGAATGACCAGTATACTCTCAATAAGCACTGCCTATGGGTAGATGCGTCCACTTGGACTCGTTCATACTAAACCATGGAATAAGCAAATATTGCTTTTGTCCCATAAAATTCCGTTTACTAATTACAAGTCATCAGGTTAATGTAGGCCCTTTATGAAGCCGAATGTATTTTTATCATGTTTCATAATTATAATAGGACGTTGCGAAGAATAGACAAATAAAAATCCACGAACAAATGTTAGCATATGGGATTAAAGCTTATGTCATCAAGATTTACGGAAACATAAAGAAAAGAATAGGACTTAACACAGGTATCTTTCAGACACATAACGCAGTGAATTAGACAAACCATTTCCGCCTTTCATTTATCTTATCAAGACACCGTTCTGAGGAACATGGCCATACACAATTGTCAAGCGTTTAGAATAAAGCCTCATTCGAAAAAGCTGAGATTTTATGTTTCATTAAAAAGTATCAGAAACATCAATGACTTATTCATACCCATGCTTTAACAACTTAAATTTGATAATTCAACAAGGTTGAATAATAGTTTAATGCTCCGTATCTCCGATATTAGATTATCCCCTTGAGAAAGCTGATAGCAGACCATCGAATGAGTAGTTGTTTAGATTTCAGTCATGTAGCATTTTCAGAAAAATTACTGCACTTCAATATCTTTAACTCAGCCCAACGAGTGTGTGAAAATCTTCTAAAAATAAGACTTAATTCCTTTAAGATTAACTAAGACAATTCTGTGTACTGGGAATTTGCAGGTATAAAGCTTTAATCTAGGTTGCTCTAAATACATAGTGACGTTTTCCCATATTTTTAATTATGAAATCCAGCACATACCACAACGATCTTTGAGGTAGGTTTTTATTGAAAATGAACTGTTTCCAGCTAAAACGGGCTACAGATAAGATCAGTTACGTGTGAAAGCATAAACAGAAGTCCCAGTATGTTATAACTAGGGGTTTGGATGCTGACCACATGTTCATTGGTTGTATAGAAGTAATGCAAAAACAAACACAACACACAACTGGCAGTCAAAAAGCTATAAGCATTATACAGATGACAAACGCGTTGCACTGTTACACAGCTGGATATAGCATAAAAACAAAAGCAGAATATGAACTCACTAGCATAATAGTAGCATATTGATTAGAAGATCCGCTCGGTTGAATTCAAGACCCAATATGTTTGTCATGCGCTTGCAAAAACAGATTGATCTATTTCATCTCACTTCCCATTACTTCTGTTTGGTTGAATGTGTTCGATTATATTTAATGAATATTAGCTTAGCTACTTGCCCGTACTGATTCTGGTCAGTTTTGTAATTCTTGTAAATGCATTTGTCTTGGAATAGTACGGTTTATGGATACAAACAGCTAGCATATTATCAAGCAAAAGGTTAGTTGATTGCAGTTTTAACATTATAAAGTGATAGTTGAAGCGCAGAAGAAAACGACTGTTCTAAGCACAAATAAATACATTGCCTAATTGTAATGTGTAGGAAGACGGAATTGAAAGAATAGGAGACAAGACGGCTATGAACATAAGCGAGACAGGGAATACTTACCGGTATACTGTGGTAAAAATTATGAGAATTGAATCAGACACAGCTTGCTAAAGTTTGAGATCTTAATCCGTAAATTATTACATATTTGTCTCCGCTTAAAGTTGACTTCTAAAGGGGCTGTGACCACTGCGTTTGAGAGGGCATTAAACTGACGGTAACGTTTGGTGAGGAAAGGTGAGAGCTTGCCTCGATGATCAAGATGGCGACGTTCTGATGGTCTGCATGTACTGAGGTGGCTTGGTGCACATAATATGTAATGTGTCATCGTCAGCTCGTCTTTTGTTTTCCTGTGGCCTAGCGAGTGTAACTTTAAGTGAAGGTGTGTGTCCCCTCAAGTTTTATTCTGTAGCCCTATGACCTCGTCGCACGTATGAAGGGATGAGATGCGACAGAATTTTGGACATTGGGATGGGGTCGTGTATATGTATTAAGGAAAGTTAGTAACATATCTAAGGTGATCGTGCCAAGTTGTCTTCGTTTAACATGAAGTGTTACGTTGGCCTGGTGTCTAAGCTTCTGTATTCACTATCTCTGGACCACGCTTCGATGAGACAGTAAAAATCAGATTTTCATGGAGGCGTAAGTTCTTTGTGTAAGATGAGCCAGAGTGTGCTTGGCATAAAAATTCTACGGGTTTAGTTTCAATCCTATATTTACTGCCCGTTTCTCCATCGTTCAGAAGTCGTTTTTAAGTCCAAGTGAGTTTTTTGCTCACTATTTACCTTGATATCTTTGCATCGTCAGCGCAGATCAATGTCCGTGAGGTAATTTTAACCAACAGGACGTAAATAATGATCAAGATCTGAAGGGTACCTAAGATTGTACCTTGTGAAACTCCAGACGTTATGACTTAACTTCAGCGCAGTGTATTTACCTTGGCACGGTGCATGTTTTTCTCTAGGTCGTGTCGTATTAAAGATAAAAGTGGGTCAACATTCATAACGAGGAGCATGTGGATTGCTTTGTCGAAGGAGTTTGCAAAGTGGAGGAATAATGAATCAACCGACATCCCTTGTTATTTGCAGGTCACCTGTGTATGAATAATTGCAACAAGTAGTTGCCATGCCACTTCACAATCATCGGATTAGTTTTGTATGAAGTTTTAGGATGAGAAGTAAGAGAATATATAAAAGTAAAATGATGACTTGTGTGTAATTAAGTGTAAACAAGGCTTATTCGAACTGAACAGGGAATATCATGTAGGGAAGTTGATCGACATTACCAGACAGTGAAAGTAGGAATCATGAGCGAACTAAAATCACGCTTTATGATCTTTGAGCTATTATGTGAGTGGGTTTAAAGAATCGTGGTCTAATTCGGTATTAGTGCAATTACCTTCGTTACCATAATAATAGACCTAATCTCCAAGATTATGCATGGAAGTCACATCATTCTTTTCAATGAATCGTTCCTTGGTGACAGTCAGCGATGTAACGTCTGGCACATATGCGAATATATTTAAGCTGGGAAGAGAGCAATATATTTGACACAGAAAAAGGAGGCTATACAGAATAACCGCACCTGCATGGCTGAACAATGACATTTCAAATAATTGCTGCCGCGTTCAGACCTCAGCCTAGTGTCATAAGTTTGATGTAAATGTTCTCGGTGATTTCACGCTCACGTTCAAAGATCGTACTGTTAAGAACCAATACCACTTCAAATTCCATATGAGACAGAATCCGGATTTGAGAAACTGATGTCATATTTTGGTGTCCTATATTCGACGAATAATTCCTTTTAGATCGTCCTATAGGCTAAAGTTCACTACCTGTGAATTTTTCGTGCCTTAAGGTAACCCTCGTGCTATTGATAGAAGAAACCAGACAAGTAGTGAATAGGTCTTTATTTCGATCTTCGCGCAGTCACAGTGGAGCGTGGGATTATCTGTTCAGACAAACAAAGGCTCTCAACATTCAGGATAATAGGGAATATAACGCTTATAAAAAATAAGGAAGTGAATGAATACTTGAACAATACTGTTTTGGAATAAGCTTGGTTGTTTGGGGTCAACTATTAACCAACCAACCAACCTGAGCTGTTACAAATTCATTAGTAAAATACCGATTTACCGAAATAATTGGATCATTCCAAAGACAAAGATAACTGGCTATACTACAAGGCAGTACATGACACTTGCACTAAGCAAATCATATGCAAGAGAAGCTATCAGTCTATGGAAATTTATCACAAGCTTTTGTATAATTTCATGGGGAAGATGATACACGGGACGTGTAATGGTGTGAATCAGGATTTCAAAAAGCACATAGTTTCTATAGTTGAGATACCAAGATGTTTGATACAGAATTTAAATCCAATAAATTTCTACGTTTTGTATGTCTATCTAATAACTCACCACCTAGGTCTTTGCCTTGTGATCTTAGCTTCGTAGAGTCCGACACTTTGGAAACTTGAAGATGGCACAGGTATTCAATGTTTGACAACGCTTCTACCAGTAACACTTTCTAATATAATTCGTAACCACCCAGAGAAATCAAAAGACAGAGTCGAGGAGATCGTAAGAGTGTATTTGGCGATAACCAATATATCGGAATTCTCTTATCTAATCTGGCTAGCGATTGCGGTTGATGTTGAGCACGGCGTTACCACACGTGATCTGGTGCGGATGCCTGACCGAGCGCCTTCAGCTAGATGAGTCCACCAAAACATGTGGTCAGCATCCAATGTCGAAGAATTACAGAGCTATTTATTTTGGGGATTTACTTACCGCTACAAGAACTCCGAGCTCTGGAGGGATTTGCGAATATTCATCATACCCAGAGGTTATCTACCCACTCATTGGATGAAGGGGATAGTTATACGAAGAAACAGAGTAAGAAAATCGCATTAACCAAAATGACATTACATCAGCACTATCTCACTCGATTTGATTGTATCAAAATAATACTGCTCAGTTTCGCTTGTACTATTTTAATTCGTGTTACATTTATTTTTATTAAGGCACCTAATGTTAGAATGAGAAGATTCAAGAATTAAATCTGTGGTTCATAGACGTTTATAAATATAACGCCACTTTTATCATTATTTATCTACACACTGATCAACTTATTTGAAATTACCAAATCATTTGTTGATGATAGTGTTTAAATAGAATGTTTGTCTAAGGAAGCGTAGAACTTTTTAATTTATCAAGCTTTGAGGTAAGGCTGAATTACTGACTCAAAATAGAACATGCTTAGTGAAATATTCTGGAAAAAATACAATATATGTAGTCTATTAATGATCATTTAGAACATACAAGAGATTGTGATATCGGGATGTCAAACAGCCAGTGAAGGGAAACAGAGAGTCCTTTGGAGTATTATGAATCGGGAGTACATAAAAGGCGTTTTAGGACTCACATGTAGGAACTGAATCTCCAAGAAAAATAGGCAATTTGATTCTACTTATCAGACCATACCTTACTTTGACTGAAGTGTATATGTAGTATGACGTATATCTCTTCTTAGTTTGATTGTGAACTTTGCAGAAAAAGCAATAAATGTCCAAATCGGATTGGAATAAACACAACAAATTCAACCTCGTTTGAAAATCTAACTCAAGATTGAATCGGAATAGTCTGTATTCTTATGTACTAAGTCACAACTAAGAAAAGATTTCCGTTAACCTCTGTGTATATAGTTGCAATGAAAGTATGTTGGAAATTTTGTTTTCATCTCAAACTGAATGGTCTTAATAGTTTAAAGTATGAATACAAAGAAAATGGGCAAAATTTCAGTATGTTTGGCTAAACAAAAATTCAACACATAAGGAACTGGAAAGGAAGAAAACATGGAAAGTATGAAGAGAATGCAAAACTTGATCAGCATCAACCCATGATGCAACCAGTGCTCCTAGGTGCTAATCTGATTACATGGAATAGGATAAATGATAGGAAAATGAGCGTACTTCTTATTATATTTTTTAACATAGAACAAAATGACCATCTGCTGGTAAATTACCCAGTGTGTAGAATAACATCATATTTAACCACTATGGACTAGACAAAATGATATTAATTGACATTATGCAAGCAATCAGAGAAAAGGTCTCAGGTATATTGAGTTTCAATCGTATTTCAGATAACCACGTAATTCTGTACAAAATATAAGGAAGCCATTGGTATTTATATAGAAGACTAATAATCATGGACAGATTGAACGAGTTGGGTAGATATAAGTTAGGCGGGAAACAGTGATTCTAAATATACGCTGATATTTCAGTTTAGTAAACCCTACCGACTCTAAATTATAGGTAAGCGAAATGAATCAACTAAACCATTTGAACAAATTCTAGTTTAAATTACGTAATACTGAGATTTAATACATCACTATATTATGGATGGACAGTAGGGAGAAAGCATATCTAAAATATATGCTGAAATAGTAATCTCAATGTCCTTTTGATAAAGATACACGTCAATTGATGCATTAGAATCATGTGATAATCATGCACGTTTTTTAAAAATAAAATGTAGCTAGGTGGATCATGAATAAACTGTTATTGGTACCTTTGTAAGTATGTTGATCTAATTATTTATTACATAAAAAGTGATTCACATATGCCAGTGATAACGCCCACGTACACATAAGCTTTATTAGTGTATACAAATTTATCGATGCACTCTTACACAAGGTCACTAAAAATCGGAATGAGCTGGCTAATTAACTCTTACATAACTTGTATAGATTAGATTACAGTGTTTCTTCAAAATTATGGATTTTATTCAACATAGTCTACATTGTTAGGTGATTACAAAGCGTATTAGCAAAATAATATGCATAAACCTTCTTTCAATATTTCTGAAGTAAACAAATTCACAGAAATACGCATAATTCTTCTAAAAGTGTAGTTATTATTAGCTGAATACTTTTTGTGTTTGATAATTAACAAAAATCTTATGCATACATATGTGCAGGTATTTGTTTTTCATTGACTGTACATTGTCTACAGAAAAATGGAAGACAAAACATTAAGGTCAACCAACAAGCAACCCAGGATGAAATAGTCTATAAGTTCAATCTGGTGCATTCCTGTCCAACTCTATTTGTTTATGAATTTTACCAGAGTATTTTATTTTCGAGATAAAACGCCTACATTTAAATAACCTCTGATGAGTGTCTTAATAACATTGAACCACAATGAGTAATCATCTTGCATATGACTAGTCAAAAAACAATTTCACCGTTCTGTTGTATATATTACGAAGTAGATTTTGGTAGTATATTATCATTCAGTCGGACCATTGTTCATAGAGGACTGTTGCTTAAGCTAAATGTTTTGAGTTCGCTCTGCATTCTCAAGACCAATTCAAGTGACAGATGGAGTCCTCACAACTCGTATACAACTAACGGGGTTTTATTTTTAGTCAAACGAAGCGTCTAAGTGTTCTGACGGTTACCGAGACGCGGTACTACACGTACAATTACAATTATAATAATAGACAAACAATCTTTAAATTTGAAGCTCCGTGTTTGAAAAACCACTAAAAACACCGAATCCAAGGTAATTCAAATGAATTATAGTGATGAATAATCTCATAGAATAACAAAAATAATTGAGTGGGTATAGTACGATTATGCTGATATGATTAGTTTAAACGAACGTAGCTTACTGAGTGTATGTGGGTATGTACAGATGAACTTTTGGCAATGCGTCATTCACGTTATGCACTCCTTCCATCAGTGGCTTACCCGTTCGGACTAGTCCCCCTAGATTACGTTTGCACTCGGTCACACTTTTTACTCTATATTGAATTATTCTGTTTCCTTCTTTATCTATTAATTATTAGACTCACATACATTACAAAGCTACAACATTTTAGGGAAGCAGACTGTCAGTATTGTTAGACTCCGTTGAATGAAATAAAGTTCACGTGGTATCAGTAAGGGCTGGCAAACAGTCCCACTACACATTCTCGGAAAAGTAGTTACATAACTGGATCCAGAGCTTCCACAGTCAGAATGAACCAAGCTGCAATCGATGCGATTAAATATGATGATTGTTCGCATCATTTTTCAGCTTACCCATTACTAGGTGTTTCAGAATATCATAAGTGATAAAAAGGCTCAATATAATGTCAAGGTCTATTTGAGATAAAGCGATATACCTTTGAACTTGGGAAGATAATCATGAAACATAACCATATGACTTGTAAGACACGATATATGAGAGCAACGAATTCACATTCATGCGTATCCACAAGGAGCTTCTTTGAAACCGAGGTAGAGAACACAAATGTTTATCGATTTTGAAAGATTATCATCATGAATAAACCGTATGTATTAGATAAATTATTGACTAATTTATAAGTGAATGACATGTTAATAGAATCAGAGTTATGAACGAATTGAAAAATGAAACACCAACTAACAGCGTGAGAGTAAACTGTTTAAAAAAATCTGAACTTTCATCTTCAGAAAATCTCACTCAACTTATTTGTTGACATAGTTGTACTAGAAGCTCGTATAAACTGATGATTTTCATTATAAATAATATTGACTGAAGAATAGTTTGGAGATCAAACTTAATTAGATATCTGTGCTGTTCACGATTAAAACTTTTGGACATTATAAAGTGAATGTGCTGAACTTCAATAACTCACGTTTATAACCCATTTTAAAAGGATTCATGGTCGATAATACCGATTCTGAGGTATAAGTTATTTAATGTTGATTTTGTTTTACCTCTTAACACATCCATAGAACAAGACTGTTAAAGGAATGTCCGGATCAAATGGTCATACATAATATTGAATAACTGGAAATCATATCATATTATCATCGTTTTACCTGAAATTCCGGAATGTAATGTCGTTTTCGTCAACTTGATTCTGGTTGAGTCGTCCTTGTGTATATTTTAGTGGGTGTGGGAAATGTCATATTTGTAATGTTTGAAAATATAGTTAGAAGGATATGTTTGTCCTGAATGGAATTAAGTTTGTGAATACTTGGATGAATAGTTCATGTTGGATGGATATTTAGACCGTCCTTTCCTTAAAACGTGGTAATTTCTTTTCTGAAACAGTAGGTTATATTAGAATACAAACACTCAGAAATTCATCTTTTTACTCATCGTTATTTTATAAATATATTATTTCTGCAATCAAACGCACTGTCTGCCTTCTAAATTTAGTAGACATTTGTGGTTTTTCGATTGCAGAAATCGTAACATCGACGCATCTCGAGATTTGTACAAATTCCTTCTAGCCAATCTATCGTTCACGGTGACAATCATTGTAGGCTTATCTTGTCGGTTTTTGAACTACGAATCCAACACACTTGACGAAGTATATAAAATCTAGAATTTACATTTTAAAGTCTACAGTTACTGTTTTAATTTTTTAAAAGTTTTTATGGCGTTCAAATCGCATCGAAAGGGAGTTTATTAAGATCATGGATACATGTCAGGTACCATATTCTAATTGAGAATTCAGTTGGTAGTCAACATCCTGATTAGCCATAGCAACCCAGATGTGAACACATATGAATCACAGTTTCAAATTTTAAGTTGTACTTGGAACACTAGTTTAAGTCATCATCGACGCAATCGTACAACAATAGTTGAGCAACATGTCTTAGTGGTGCCGATTTAAACGTTTGAAAATAGTCATCAAGCAGTGTATACACACTCCAATCAATTTTTAATGTCCATATAATTCAATTCAGAGAATAACTATTGTCAACGACAAAACACTCCATTCTCCAGCGAAAACATAATTGCTATACAGGATGAAGAATGCGAAATCCCAATCAACATCTATTGTGATTTTACAATTGCCATGGTATGTTCACGAGAAAGTTAAAATAATAAATTAGTCTGTCAAACAAATATAGGTATATTTTGATAAATCAAAGTGCAACATCTTATATAAAGAAAGAAAGACAAAAAAATCTTCGAAATCAAAATAAAAAGTTAATAAGACTGTCCATTACAAGGACTATTTGGATGCAGTCGATTTCAATAACTTGGTTAAAACCTGACGAGCTTTTTCAATAAGTTCATCACATGACTCACTGGGATTCTTTGAATCTTTTTGAGATATTTGACCTTGAGTGTTGAGCCAATATCTTGCCTTATCAACTATCAGGCGCCATTCATTTTCCTTCTCAGGCATAAATAACTCCAGATATGCAATTACCAGAGCGGTCCCCCAAATAACATCTGATAGAGATAAGGATTTTTCTAAAATCGGAAATTATAATATGAGACATGATTAAGAATAATGATTCGGTGCGAGATCTTTAAACGGATATGAGTTAACAATAGACAAGTACGTCAAAATAATCAAATAATTCGTACCAGTGTAAACTCAATACATTTCCTTTCGGTTGCTATATACCTAATCATATGTGAATAGCAAAACTAGATTGAAATGGATAAAATACCCTTAAATGTCGCTTTATTGTAATCAAACTGTTACTGTGCGGACGAACTCTAATTAACAATTATAAATATATTTACTCGAGTAGTAAATAAAGAAAAAAGTGTAGTCACATGGGTACAAAGTTAACCGTTCTATTTGGTGCAACACGTTAATAAACTCAACTGCCAAACAATACCGAAAACTAATTGCTAGTTGAATTTTGAACCGAAATAACAAAGATCATATAAACATAAGTTAAAAACTTTAAATGAATTCATTAAAATTACCAGTTTGTTTTAAAAACTCTGTCAAATTATCAAGAGGTATTTCAAAACATTCAGATAAATCAGAATTTAATTTCCAGAATCCTGAAAAACTTTGTAATTCAGCAAGTCTTATATGTTTTTCCATAACTTTAACTGGTTGAACTTCCTGAAATTGATCTAAATAACAAGATGGAAAGACAAAATATATGGAATATTATCGGTTTTATGTATAATTTCAGAAGAGGTTTTGTGGGATACTATAGTAATTTTAATAGTTGGAGATCATGAGTCAATTGAAGCTATATTATCATGGAAAACCTCGAAGCAGGACTCGTCAGCAGTGCGCATCCACGATCCGGCCTCGTGAGATTTGAACCCAGGATCTATCGATCTCGCGCGAATGCTTAACCCCTGGCCAGCATCCAATGGTGCTAATATCTCACCTCAACTAATCCACGAAACTGAGAGACACATCCAACATTGTCTTCACTGAGTTACTATCTCACAACAGATCCGGTTGAAATCCACTGGTCACTGATTCTCATTAGATTGTGTGGCTCAATTTCGTGGATTCGTTGAAGTTAGACATTAACACCGTCGGATGCCGGCTCAGTGGTTTAATGGTTGAGCGCTCGCGAGGCGTGATTGTGGATGCACACTGCTGAGGAGTCGCCATACGTACGGTATGTGCTTAGCACATTCGAAGTGAAAAGTACTTCTACAAGACTGACAGGATTCTAATGACGTACTCACTCTGGATGGTGAGCAGATAGTAGTAGTCTGGAAGTCCGTGTATCTAGGTAGCTGCATAAGTGCTGGTGGTCGCGTGAGTGATGGGATCAATGCACGAATAGTGAAAGCCAGAGCGACTTATGCCAATCTGGACCATCTTTAGAGCCTTCGTGATATCAGTCTAGTTGTAAGAGGTTGGATCTACAACGCGCCGGTGAGAGCAGTTCTGCTCTATGCTTGTAAAACCTGGCCTCTCTGAGTTCACGATGTTAGACGACTCTCTCTATGTTTGATCATCGTTTCCTCCGAAGGATTGCTGACATCCAGTGGCAACACCATGTCAGTAATGCAGAGGTTCGGCATCGTGTGTTCAGGCACAGAGACGATAATCCAATTGGTGTCACCATCTTAATACACCAACTTCGGTGGCTTGGACATGTTCTACGAATGTCGTTCCACAGAATTACACGTCGTGCATTATTCGCCGACGCTGGGACTGTTTGGAGAAAGCGGAGAGGTGATCAGTGTATGACATGGTGTCGTGGTATGTAAGAAAGCTACAAAAGACTGGCTTGTGTTGGTCCTTCACGACTCACTGGTTGGGGTCCGAGAGATGATGCGACACAGTGGCTAGAGACGTTATCAGATATGGCTCAGAATAGAAGTCAGTGGCGATCCTGCTGTAACCTTCTTTTACTTTCTTCATAAAAAGTGGTTGTATCTTCCTTAACTGAAAGATTTCTTCTGATTGTACCTTTCCATCTCCCTCATTATTATTATTATCATTATAACACTATCTTACACTAATTTGGTCGTTATTGTTCTTTTTTCTCCTCTCTTTCCATTCTCATTATTTTGTGTGGTGCATATATATTTGATGCCCACTTGTACCAATATTTATGTGTTCAAATAAATAAATAATAACCAACAAAGATAAATATTACAAACACTATCTTCCAATGTGAGTTATCTTGGACGCGTTGGACTTTAAAAATTAGCCAATAATAAAAGATAACTGTAAAATAATCACTTTGTTTTGTGTGAAGACGATAACTTCCATTTCACCTTCATGTGTATATTCATAATACGTTTAATGTGATCGGTATTCCTTATTCCAATTACATTACATAATTTTCCAATTTTTGGGATGATGCACACTCGTACAAGAAAAATAACCTGTAATTGATGTAAATCAATTAGCGATATTCAGTCATCTCAACTTCAATGTAGTACATATTGGAAAGAATATCTCTCTCATATACCCTATTAGTCGGTTATTGATATAATTCATTTTACAGTATTGTCAATGTATAATATCGTTTGATGTATTTTAAAGTTTTATTCGGATTTTAGTTTTTTCCCAAATCACTATTACTTGGTAAATATATGATGCACCTTTGAGGAAGGATTGGAGATTTCTAGGTTAACTTTTTTTTATACAATATGAACCATAGTGAAATAGTATAATTTGTCCAAGTATTAACTTTCACATCGGAATCTTAAATATCTTTGGATTCGTAAAGTGAATTACCATACCCATCATTTTAATAAATGAAGTTTGAATTTTAGTACACGTGCCATCTGTACTTAGGTATAAAACAATATGATATATAAGATCATTTGGTAAAATTTGTTCCACTATTTCCCATTATCACTAAACACGATGTGACATATTAAGACGGTATATCAATACATGCGCGTGCGTGTAAAAATAAACAGTATACACTCTTACTGATTTATAAAATAGATAAAGCAAAAAACATGGATGCCTCAATACTTCAAATCATTAAAGTAATATGGGAAGGAGGTTAACTTACCACAGCATCCAACAGCTCCCTCGAAATCTGTATAAGTATAGAACATTAACAATAAAATCGATAAAATAAAGACATATCAAGGAAGTAACGTTTATGAACATGAATAATGATTATATTAAATCTACAAAATGAAATTCCCAGAAGATGAAAAGATACAATTAGTTAAACTAATCGTAAAACACCAAGATAATACTCAATGAATTAGCAGTTACAAAAGATCAGAAAGGGGTTTTTGTGGATATTATAGTAATTTAATATTTGAAATCATGAGTCAATTGAAGCCAGAGCACCATGGATGCGTACTGCTGAAGAGTGCCACAACAGGACGAAACAGCCGTCCAGTGCTTCCAGGTTTTCCATGGTGGTCTAGCTTCAATTGTGACTCATGATCTCAACTATTAAAATTATAAATAATTGTACGAAGATAACTAATAGAACACAAGTATGATAAAATCAATTCTATAACTAAATAATTTATGAATATTAAAGGATTGAAAAATTTATTGTAAAAATTAATTTTCACAATCGATTTAAATTTATACACCATTGAGTCAAAAGACAGTGAATACTTCAGTGAAATTTATACTGAACACAATTTGTCCGTTTTATTAAATTTTGAATATTCTATCTAACTTCAATAAATTAATTAGAGATTAAATAATCTCTACTTTTTAATTAAACAATATTATTCATTTAATGATGACTTACGAGTTCCAATTTATGCAATAACAATTTGACATCTAGTTTATATTTATCTAATACATTTCGGAAGTCAAAACAGTTTACTCGCTAAATTGTGCATAACTTAAATCTTGAACTGACTGATGAATATTCATGTATCCTATTATATCCTGACAAGAATTATGAATGATAACTTTTGAGAACTGTCTATGGACCGATACGTTACATATATAGGTTTATTTATAATTGTTAAGTAACAGCTGTGTATATTCATACTCCTCTTATTAAAAGCTTTTTTTTAACTCATAGACTATTATTATATGATTTACCGTTCTTGAGTTTTGCCCAGTTTATTAATTAGTCTCCCACATTCACAGCCACATTTGGTTAGATTTTGTACAAATGTTATTTTCTATTTTATGGTACGATGTGGTCTGCTTGGTTTACATATGAACCCAGTACGTTTGAAATAAATGATTCATATCGCAGAGGCTGAGATTGGTGTTTTGGAATCTGACAGGCAGAGAGAAGGACCGATAAGAATTTTAGACTACTCGCACGGGTTTTATGCGTCATTGGTCCTGTCGATAATTCACTGTTCTCTAATTGGCGGTAAAATTACGTCATATACTGATAGGCGAACAGGGCCACAACTTATAACATATCCTAAATTGTAGCACATATCTAAAGATCATCCTGTCACGTTCGAATAGAGTTATCCCGAATAAAATTAACTAATCGATTGTTGACTCAATTTGTGTAAACGATTGGTCAATTGTGAGTGCATTTTTAATGCCAATGTTCACAGAAAATATAAATTAGCTAAACAATTGCAATGATCGTCTGGATCATGCAACATAGCATAGTCACTGAGAATAAATAAAACGTTTAGTTAATTAGACTACCAAGAAGTGTAATGTTTAGCTTTAGTAAAGCAATACAAGAATCAGGCAGTCACCTATCAACAACGTTGGGCCAGGATCGTGATATACAAACTAGTTGATTGCATTAAGAAATAAAGACCAGTATCAACAAGCTCAATACCTAAAGTATATCCTGCTTAATATGAACCATACGGTATTAGATTCACATCAGTGTTAGGCTGTCAATACACATAGTTGTAAAGTTTCAAACTGGCACGCGATAACGTCTTAGTGATTCTTGATGCGTCGTCGAATCACGTCACAGTAAAACTTTCTATTGTATTTGTACAAAGTCCTTACAAAGTCAATATTATATCTACGATAATAAAAATTTATTACACTGAGCAACATTAACAATATGGGAAGCTCAAAATACATGATGTATTCAATTAACTAGAAATAATATTAGCTGTAATGTGTCATGCAATCAAATACCTTGCATATTAATTGTTTGAAAGAATATCACATAGTGAAATATTAATAGATCACATGTTGTAATAGATAGTGATTGTCTTAAGACAGATCCAGAACAAATAAAAATATTAATAAGACAAAAATATTATCATAAAGGAAATTAGATAAATAATCAGCCTTAACTTAAAACTATTATTATGTCACTTTCATATGGTATATGATTTTGTTGATATTGTTGAGGCTAATGTCCTCAATATCTGACTCCAATAAATAATATCCCGTAAACTGAGTATTTTAGGTAAGCTTAATCTCCTAGCAGAATTACGGATTTACTCGAGATTATTGAGAAGCCTGAACACCAGTCATAGAGATAGTTTATTGTTAATGTTTAATAAAAATCCACAAGCGTACGGTGAGCAAGCACACGATGAAACAGAGTGAGTGAGTGTGTTTAAAATCCATATATTTTTTTGAGAGTTAATCGGGTGTGGATAAATTATCGATTATCTGCACTTGAAACCAATAGGAGGATAGCTTAAGAGTTAATGTACAGACATGCATTCGATCATAAACACCGAAATTAACATAGTGAATTAAGAGTCTGAGTTACAATGAATAGACAAATGATACAGAGGCCAAATGGGCTTGCCACAATGTAAAGCTGATATAATATACCATTAGTTAAAAAGCATACAAATAAGAAACAAGTGTACAATTTATTTTATGAAAGTTTTACATTTAAACAGTTTTAATGAGGATATGTTTAAAGGTCTGCACTAAATATGAAGCAGTTCTTTCTTGGGGGGGGGGAGTTAGAGAACTTAGTCACGTAACTAGTTTAATGAACGAAAACACCTGATAAATCTCTTCAAATGATTGAAACAAGTACACTAGACAATAGTATAATAATGCTTCAAAATAACCTGGTTTTTTTTTATAAAAAAAACAAACATGACAACTTTAAATGATGATTTTAAAGCAGTACTGATGTGATTAAAATTCCCAATTATTTTATAATTATTCAAATTGAAGAAATAGATTAATTTGAGTATAGTAAATAAAAAAAGAGAGATTGAATGTTACTTATTTTAGAAATGTGATTGTACACATGACGCGAATAAACAATTTACAGAATATTATTCTGTAAAACAATTTATTACATATGCAGGGTTTCTATAAAAACGCATGCATTAAGTAAGTACACTATACTCTTTTATACGTTTTTAATTATATTGACTGGAAACCTTTAATCTCGATTGAAATAATGTTGACACTTATCGTTTAGGTGTATTTGGAACCATAAAGAGACAAAATGTATTAGCTGTGATAAGTTCAGTTGTCATTACAATCGATGGTGAATTCTAGGTAATTAAAAAACTCCACCTGGAGCTCCTCTGAGGCTACTGCCAGTCCCAAGCCCGGATAAAGGAGGAGGGTTGGGCATGGGGTTAGCGACCCCATGAAGAAAAATTGGACAGAACTGGAAAGGAAGGCCCGGGACAGAGTGGACCGGAGAATGCTGGTCGGCGGCCTATGCTCCATTGCGAGTAACAGGCGTAAGTAAGCAGGTAATTAAAAGATTATGACGAGCCTACCTTCAGCACACATGTCTGTATCAAAACCCAACGAACCAGTGTAAGCGCACTTTGATGTAGCTAAAATAATAAAAAGTAATCAAAGGAATGTAATTAGTAACAGACAATATTATGATAGTTACAACTAATATTGTTACTTTTACTCATTCAAAATAAACGGTAATAGAAATACTCTGATTACTACTACAGTGAACTATGCGTTTTAGAATAGATATGATTTGAACTGAAGATCTTACAAAAAAATTTACAATCGAGTAAGAGCAAGGTGTTGATCTCCATGATAACGAATAATGTACCAACAAAGATACAACCGAGTTTCCACTATAAGCGAGCTGCTGTATAAGTCGAAAATGTCCATAGGTACGGTATGTGCTTTGCGCCTTCGAAATGCAAAGTACTTCTACAAGACTGGCAGGATTCTAATGACGTACTCACTCTGGATGGTGAGCAGATAGAAGTAGTCGAGAAGTTCGTGCATCTAGGTAGCTGTATAAGTGCTGGTGGTCGCGTGAGTGATGAGATCAATGCATGTATAGTGAAAGGCAGAGCGGCTTATGTCAATATCGACCATCTTTGGCGCATTCGTGATGTCAGTCTGCCTGTAAAATGTCGGATCTTGTTGTAACGAGAGTATTGCAGATTTAATGCGCAGCGTATTTATCGACCGAATCAGTGACACGTAAAAACACGCACGAACGGCCTAGAGTTTCGATTATTCCTGCTTCCCTGTCTAGCCCAGCCAGTTGAGTCCAGAACACAAGTCTTAGCCTCTGAGATATGAATCGTTATATTTCAAACATACTCTGTTTATATACCAGCCAAACAGATCACATCGTACCATAAAATAGGAAACAACATTTGTACAATATTTAACGAGCGAAACAAAAATCGACCAACAGATAATGTCCATTTAACGTCCAAGGACACCATTACACTTAACATGATAATTATTGGTACATTTTCCGGAATATCCTAACAGTTTTACAACGCGTCGGTGAGAGCAGTTCTGCTCTATGCTTGTAAAACCTGGCCTCTCTGGGTTCACGATGTTAGACGACTCTGTGTTTGATCACTGCTGTCTCCGAAGGATTGCTGACATCCAGTGGCAACACCATGTCAGTAATGCAGAGGTTCGGCATCGTGTGTTCAGGCACAGAGACGATAATCCAATTGGTGTCACCATCTTAAAACACCAACTTCGGTGGCTAGGACATATTCTACGAATGTCGTTCCACAGAATTACACGTCGTGCATTATTCGCCGACGCTGGGACTGTTTGGAGAAAGCGGAGAGGTGGTCAGTGTATGACATGGTGTCGGGGTATGAAAGAAAGCTGCAAAGGGATGGCTTGTGTTGGTCCTTCACGACTCCCTGGTTGGGGTCCGACAGATGGTGCGACACAGTGGCTAGAGACGTTATCAGTTATGGCTCAGAATAGAAGCCAGTGACGATATATATTTGATGCCCACTTGTACCAATATTTATGTGTTCAAATAAATAAATAATAACCAACAAAGATAAATATTACAAACACTATCTTCCAATGTGAGTTATCTTGGACGCGTTGGACTTTAAAAATTAGCCAATAATAAAAGATAACTGTAAAATAATCACTTTGTTTTGTGTGAAGACGATAACTTCCATTTCACCTTCATGTGTATATTCATAATACGTTTAATGTGATCGGTATTCCTTATTCCAATTACATTACATAATTTTCCAATTTTTGGGATGATGCACACTCGTACAAGAAAAATAACCTGTAATTGATGTAAATCAATTAGCGATATTCAGTCATCTCAACTTCAATGTAGTACATATTGGAAAGAATATCTCTCTCATATACCCTATTAGTCGGTTATTGATATAATTCATTTTACAGTATTGTCAATGTATAATATCGTTTGATGTATTTTAAAGTTTTATTCGGATTTTAGTTTTTTCCCAAATCACTATTACTTGGTAAATATATGATGCACCTTTGAGGAAGGATTGGAGATTTCTAGGTTAACTTTTTTTTATACAATATGAACCATAGTGAAATAGTATAATTTGTCCAAGTATTAACTTTCACATCGGAATCTTAAATATCTTTGGATTCGTAAAGTGAATTACCATACCCATCATTTTAATAAATGAAGTTTGAATTTTAGTACACGTGCCATCTGTACTTAGGTATAAAACAATATGATATATAAGATCATTTGGTAAAATTTGTTCCACTATTTCCCATTATCACTAAACACGATGTGACATATTAAGACGGTATATCAATACATGCGCGTGCGTGTAAAAATAAACAGTATACACTCTTACTGATTTATAAAATAGATAAAGCAAAAAACATGGATGCCTCAATACTTCAAATCATTAAAGTAATATGGGAAGGAGGTTAACTTACCACAGCATCCAACAGCTCCCTCGAAATCTGTATAAGTATAGAACATTAACAATAAAATCGATAAAATAAAGACATATCAAGGAAGTAACGTTTATGAACATGAATAATGATTATATTAAATCTACAAAATGAAATTCCCAGTAGATGAAGGGGTTTTTGTGGATACTATAGTAATTTAATATTTGAAATCATGAGTCAATTGAAGCTGGACCATCATGTATGCGTACTGCTGAAGAGTGCCACAACAGGACGAAACAGCCGTCCAGTGCTTCCAGGTTTTCCATGGTGGTCTAGCTTCAATTGTGACTCATGATCTCAACTATTAAATTACAAAATATTCAAGTGAAAAATAAGTTAAACAAATGACTAAACAGTTATAAAATATTTAATTAAGACTAACATGAATACAATTTTTCATACACATAGTTCCCTTTATTATCTTAAATAGAGCAAGAATTATATGAATTCATTTTATTTCGTTAGGTTCTCATCAGCTGCTTACAACCTAAATTATTTGAAAATTCAACATTAATACAGATATTGACATATTTATATATAAGAGTGTGATTAAGGATCAATACATGTGTATGATGATGTAGCGAATATTCAGATAGAGTTAATGAGCTCATAAAATGTTTGATTCGAATAAATAAATAAAGTTTGAGAGGGAAAGTTCTGGAACATTGAAATAGCGATTAGAACTCATGAAAATAGATTAATGGTAATAAAGAAAATATGAATTGAAATCAATCATTTTTGTATGATGTAATTTATATTTCAGAAAGAGTTGCAATAATGACGTAATAAATAAGTAAATAGGAGCAAATGAATAGAAAGAGTGGGGGTTATTGTTATCAGGGTAAAGAAAGATTTATTACTGTCTCTTTTTGTATACATAGATCTGGTTTTAAACGTTTGATTGCTAACGCTTCAGCGAATTCCAAAAGGTTCGAGTTTGATTGTTTGTTAATCACCTTGAAGGACTTCACTATATCAGCTTTATGTCCTGTATCAAGGAGATGTCTTGCGATAGCACTGTTGAATGCGTTCAATCCATTTAACCTTAAACTTTTCGGAATATGTTCTTTGAATCGGACATAGGCTCTCCTTTCTGTTCTACCAATGTAACTGCTTTGGCAGGCACATGTAAATTTGTATACACAGTTGGTGGTAACATGAAAGGGATACCTGTCGACCTTTGATTGTGTCAAAGAGCATGTTGTTTTGGACAGGACAATCAATTTCGCTGCAGGATAAGTTCTTGTCAGTGCAGTTTTTAATCTCATATTGATTGATCCTGTGACATCGTCACCTTTGAATTGAAGTTTAATAAAAATAGGCTTTTTATTTGCTGTAATTTCTTTCGGCTTTTTAACTTCACATTTGCCGTATTTCTCAATAAATTTCAGCGGGTATCCGTTATTCTTTAAACATTTTTTAACATTCATAACTTCCTCTTCTAGTGTATCGGAAGTACATATTCTTTCTGTTCTGTAAAACAGTGTTTTGACCAGTGCCTTTTTGTAACTGATTGGACAAAAGCTATTGAAATTAAGATAACTACCATTCCATGTGTCTTTCTTATAAACTGAACGTTGAACTGTACCATCTTTTCTTCTTTTCATCACGATATCGTGAAAATGGAACTAGTTTTCCTTTTCATGTTCCATAGTGAAATGGATATTCGGATGTGCTTCGTTGAAAAACTCTAGCAGATTTATTGCATGTTGTTTATTATTACATACGATGAAGGTATCATCAACATACCTCGAATAATACGTCATTTCATCAATCGCTCGTTTGAGTTTGGTTAGCCATAAAAATATCTGCTAGGACAGGACCTAACGGACTTCCCATCGCTACAACATCGGTTTGTTTGTATATGATATCGTTGAACTGGAACTGAACGTCTTTTGTACAAATGAGTAATAGTCGTTTGAATTCTGGTACTGGTAGAGGTAGGATGTCAGAATGTTGACAAATTATGTCTATGGTCTCAAGAAGTGGTATTTTTGTAAACAAAGATGTTACATCAAAAGAAACCATAAACTTACCGGCAATATTTATGTGATTTATGCTGTCAGCAAATACAAATGAATCCTTTAGTGTATAGATGGCTAATCGTTGACGCACTGGTTCTAACTTATCTGCCAACCATCGTGCAACTTTGTGGTATGGTGAATTGATCATTGACAAAATAGGTCTAAGAGGATAACCTTGTTTATGTATTTTCGGTAGTCCATACATGTGGGGCAAACGAGACCCACGAGGTCGTAGATTATTGTAAGTAGAGTTATCGATCATCTTCTTTTTCAGAAGATCTCTGAGTACTTTGGTGATTCTTTTCTCAATGGAATCAGTTAAGTCTTTGTTACTTTTCTCTAACTTGAATCTCATATGGTCATTCAAGATGGACTTCATCTTAAAAACATAATCTGTTTTGTTCATTAGAACAACACTTGAGCCTTTGTCTGACCGTAATATCATTATATCGTCATTTCGTTTAATATTTCGTAATGCTGTTTGGTGGTCTTTGGATAAAAGCTTAGACTGTGGTGCGGGTGAAACAAGATATTGGTTTGCAATATCGACTAGTTTAGATTTAAACCAGCCTTTCTTTTCTTCACTAACTGGGTGCAACTCTTTAATTTGATCAAATAAATTCTCAAATTGAGTTTCTGTGTCGATTCTGTCGGCATGTGTTTTGGGGATATGAAATTTAAATCCAAGTGACAAAGCTTCTGTTTCTATCTGATTTAACTTAATTGTTGATAGATTATAGAGAAACTTTTCGGGGTTTTCCGGAAAGCCAAAACATAATTGTTCCTTTGACAGTGTCTTTGACAAAGTTACGTGGAAATTCTTGCATATTTTGCTTTGCAGATCTTGTATAAAGTTGATATATTTTATGCGACATACGATACTTAGATTGTTGATTCAATGTGAGATTTTGTGATGCGTCGAAGATTTTTAAGAGAAGGCGGAAGTTTAAATGAGCGTAAAGACTTTAAGAACTGACGTGGTGTTATAATCCTGTTTCTTACGGTTAATGACCCAGCTATTCCTATTGCTTAATATTCTCGTACACCGATTCACTTGACAAGTCCCCAAATCAGAACACGGTTGAACAAGAAAGAGATTATATTCCAAATAGCAAGTCAGAAGCCAGTAGGAAGCACAATAGAGAAAACGTCAGTATATTTATAGTTTTTACATGAGAAGATTCTAGAGTATTCTCCAACTATCGACTAGTGCTGATTGGATAAGAATTAGCCAATCAGAGTGCACCAAAGCAATCGTGAATTGAGCATGCTTTAATCTAGTCTATGTCCCGCTAACACGTGGGAAACGGCATGACTTGAGAAATTCATCACTATTGTTGATGACAATGTTGCTTAAATAAACACAAGCAAGACTTTATTTTTTAACCAAATGCATTGCAATAAGCAAAAACAACTATTTTACAAACATAGCTAAATAGGATGACATTTTAGGCCAAAATTACACTGAACCATCTTATATAACACTTTATTTTATTAATTGTCTACGTGTATCAATAAAAAAGCAATGAGTTATTGGGTCATTCTATCAACAAAAATAAGCACAAATTCTTTGATTTGCTATGTATGATTAAAAGACAGTTAACAAATTCAAAAGTCGAATACTATGCATAGTGAAATTTATCGATAAGTCTAAGCAATATATATATCAACACTGCAATAAACTTACTACCATCTAAGGTATCATAACAAATACTCCCTGTAGGCATTGACATTTGTGCAACTAAGAAGAATAAAGACAGTAAAAAAGAAAGGTGTACACATGAAAAATGTAATATGGATGTTATTTAATAGTTTTAATGATACAAACATTGGTATAAACATTTTAGTCATAATATCAGTTAGTAAACAATAAATTATTATCAGAAAAATCTGAGCTGACTTTGTCATATGATGCTATGAGAATTTTAAACGAATTGAAAGGATTATAATGTTAGCAAATAAGAATAGTATTTCGACATTAAAAAAAAATATTATGCAATATACATTCGCATGGATATTATAAGGTCATAAGAAATAATTATTGTATTTATGCACTTATATTGTAAACAGCCGAGTAACAATAAAATCAATTACATTTAAAATACTTTTCACAATGTACTAATTTTAATCACAGAGAAAGCATAAACATAAAATCAATATACAACGTTACTAATATATCGATAGATAATGATTCAGTTGATAATCAATTAATCATAAGCACAGCAGGACTTGGTATATATGTTTAGCAGTTCGTGATACTGTACTTAACGTCAATAAAACGAGAGTATTAAAGAAAGTAAGAATGGTAGGTAGGTAGTGGTAGGGATAAAATAAATATAGTTTTAAGAAAGGAACGAAGGGATAGAATTACACTACGCACCGGAGAAAAGTAAAGTATCGATGCGTCTGGTATTATTCGAGTGTTATTAAAGAACGTCTTTCATGGTGTTTAAATAAATATGACGAATATTTCGCAAGTCTAACAGTAAAGTATGCACCTTTAAACAAAGCTCAGGCTATCAATCAATGTCTCCCTGTAATGAATCCTCTTGGCTCGATATAGTCGCTCCTAATAGTCATTTTCAACTGCTTTTACTCTAGCCAAGATGGTACTTAAGAGCAGGCAATTCCTAGACATACAAAACAAACTCCATTTAGATTAGTAGATGGAAGATCGAATATTTGTAAACTGATTTATCATCTTTGACTAGTAATCTACACATCCAAAACAGTTATTTGCTGTTTCCAATACAAATGAACAGGATTAGAAGACACCTGTAATCCAGAATACCAATATAAGTACACCATCGACCTCTGAAGACAATTTTCATAATTACAAAGTAATAAAGCACAAGGTGGTGTATAGTATACTCATCTTTTGATAGAAAGATGAACATCTTTCTACCTCGAAGTTTGACGTGAACTAGCAAATGATGAAGAGACTGTTAGCTCTTATATTTAGAGTTCGTTGACCAATAACCTCGTTACAGCTAGTGAAACTTCAAGACAACTGGCATGAGTACGCCAACTCAACCCTTATTTGATGAAGATCAGTCTCAGAGTCATATTTTGAATCTATAGGAAGAGATGTGCATCGCAAACATTCATTCTCACCACTCAGGCTTTCGCCTACGTACTTAGTCAGTGCGGTTTTTATGTTAGAGATCAATAAATTTAAAGTCAAGTTTAAAAATGATCATATATGTGACAAGATTTGGTGAAGATGAAGAAAATGGACAATGATGACGGACACTATTTGATGGAGATGATTCAAATATTAGTGCATCGTAAACCCTGACTGACCCATAATTTCCCAACTAATGATTATCAGCAGATTTATGTGGTTTCTTTGATATATTTTTCAATCAACCTACCTTAGATAGAAGAGTATCAAGGGAGAGATATTCCAAATAATATAGCTCAGTCGATTCGTAATGATATGAACGTTTAATCACTTCGTCAAGCTGGGTAGTTTATGATACAAAACCTGTCAGAATTACAGACATATAGTGAGCGAGAAATCAACCTAACTCACAATAGTCATAAACCTTTTGTTCATGTTGTGTTTAATCCCAAAAGTAAATTACGAGAAAGTCTTTACAAATAAATATACACCAGTCGGACAAAAACAAACGTTGGACTGATTCATTTTCGTACTGGTTGTTTGAATCGCCCCATTGAAGTTAGACTGATTTAATCAATCCATAAAATCCTAATTCATTATTAAAGTAATTATACAAATGAACATTATGGAATAAGTGTTTAATGAATCATACCAGAGAAACGACGGAACATAAGAGGTACAGTGACTTTAACTCTTTCCTTCGGATCAACATCTAAAATAGAACAAAAAAAGCAATTACAAGAGTAATACAAGTAGTAAGATGGTGAAAGAAATCCACCATGCTTTATTTTGTGCAATGAATTAAGATAATTCTAATCATATTAAGACGTGATGGAAGGTAAACTACATGAAATGAACAGGAACTTTTACCATAGTACTAATGAAATTCATATTAATTACCTAACTTGACTGGATCTACAGCGACCAAAGAAGTGAATTTTGATAATATATTCAATTGACATGATAAATCTTCAACTTGTTGACGTATGGACTTCAATTCTGTTTCATTTTTCTCATTCATTTCATTTAATTGTATACTATGGTATCCATCTATGAGTTCATTCATTCGCATATTTCCTGCTAGCCGATGAATCGGTAGACTTCCAGAACAATTCAACTTGTCATTAAACAATATCACATTCAATATACTTAATACGAATGATTTCTTTTCACCTAGTACACTACAATTGAAATTTACTCGTCCTTGGATAGTTGATGATTTATCTATTGTATAAATAAAAGACGAAAGAGAATTAGAAAATACTATTTTTTAAAAATGTAACTGAGATGCATGAAACGAATTCAATTAACCAAATTAACATAAATTCTTATATTGATGGCGCATATCGATTGAATACCTGTTAAAGGTTGATAGATTACTTTCTTGAATGACTAAACCATATTTATGCAACTATGACATGATACCACTTTATCAGCTTTCAGCTGTTAGATAGATAGTCTATTCTTAACGAAATAGGTTTACAAATTCAATGAAAGAATAATTTGAACATGCTTATTATTTTCTTTTCAACTAACCACAGTTGGCTGATAGATCCAGAAGTTCTCTAAGCAAATTTCATCTACTCCCTTATAGTTTTTATTTCTAACTGTTTGTTATGGAAGTTATGTTTGTATATATATATATATATATATATATATATATATCGCCCTTTTGAACCTTTGTTAACTAATTCTGGTTATTTACTTGTTTACTGTGAAGAAGTGGTTTACACTAAGTTATGAAACTTCAGAAATTCAAATTTCTACTCATTGTGCTATCTCAAATATACCTTTAATTAATTGTCATAGTGTTCGTCGGACTATTATAGAATTTACAGCTATTTATCAGTTAGTCCGATAGTGATTACTTACCTTTTCTGCCATACTTCAGATAGTTATTACGTTAAGTGTTATTTAGAAATAACTGAGAAATCAAACATATATCGTAGTGGATTGTCGGTGAGAGATAGTGGTACGATAAAAAAACACTGGCAGAAAGGCTCACATAAGTATACCTACAAGGAGATGGCTTCTGTTGGTCCTTCACGACTCACTGGTTGGGGTCCGAGAGATGATGCGACACAGTGGCTAGAGACGTTATCAGATATGGCTCAGAATAGAAGCCAGTGGCGATCCTGCTGTAACCTTCTTTTACTTTATTCACAAAACGTGGTTGTATCTTCCTTAACTGAAAGATTTCTTCTGATTGTACCCTTCTGTTCCCCTACTATTACTATTATTATTATTATTACACTACCTTACACCAATCTCTTCGTTCCTGTTTCTTTTAATTTTTTTTTACGTTCCTCACTTTTTTTTCTTCCTATATTCTCATTGTTTTGTGTGGCGCATTACTGTACCAATATATATGTGTTCAAATAAATAAATAAATACATACCTACAGCAAATAACTTGAAAATAAGTGTTACTAACAGTATATACCAACACAAACAGGTTATCAGTAGTTGCATATGCCATAATGAAGACTGATTTTTAAATTAAAAATTTTGGATAATCGCAAAGATGACTACATTTACTAACCAGATTTGAAAAAACCGAAATATGTCGAGAACCGATCGGGAAATATTGGAGCTATTTGCTTGGGAACAACTACCACTTCAATTGGTTTCTCCTTGCCATCATGAAATTTCTCGACTAGCTTCCAATCCATTTCAATATTATCAGCTCTTGGCTGTAATGCAGCTGAAAGAGTCCTCATCACAGCTGACTGAAGTTGAGAGCTAAATTGAAAATAGTTGAATATATTAAAACCACAAAATTTATACATGAATCTACATATATGAGAGTTGACCAAGACAGGAAGAGATACATGGTAGTACAGCCACCAGGTATTTTACAGGCTTCATCGTACCAAATTGCGATAAAATAGAATAAATATCTGATCCATCAAGCCATTTATTTCCAGGTAAAATCCAACAAGACTTATTTATATTGATGGATATATTCTGTTCGTCTCGCTTTTTATTGACTTAACTACAACTTCGATCATGCCTGTTACACAAAAACACTTTATTCAGTGTGAAAACCAGTGTTTGAACAAAGTAAAATTCATATAAACATAAATGACACGCTTTGAGACCACAGGAAGTACTTAAATATTTCAACAGATTCTCATTACCACGTATATCCGTTAGTTAAAGCCTAAAAAAATCGATAATGGCTTCTGTCTACTAATCCATTGACAGTTAAATATTTATTATCCAGAAAATGATAAGACCATAATTTTGTAGTGGGCTTATGAATGCAACATTTATTGTAACGAATCATTTGTAAAGTGAGTGAACTTATCACTCTAATTTATGTCTCATAAAATATCGAACTGTAAGTAATCATTATTTCCTTAAGTATTTTTCTTAAAGAGGAAATTCACTAGCTCGATCACAACATAAACATCAATTGATGAATAAAATCTAATATTATGGCAGCAAAGTCTGACCTAAAGCCTTTCCACAGCGCTGCTGGGAAGTAGGGACAACCTTACTAGCTGACTTGAGCGGTCTATGGGAAGAAAGCCTTTATACCATTGATACGTATGCAGTGCGTAAGTGACGGTCAATTGTAGCAAATACGTTTGAAGGGAGCGGTGACTGACCATCTACCCTCCCAGCTGGGTGAATATATCTATATGTATGATAGAGGATGTATGAGTAGAAACTTGTGTGCTACTGGTGTGCGTGTAACGTATATCTATGCGTATGTCAAAGGACGCATGAGTGAAAACTTACAAGTTTCCAGTATGCATGTAGAATAAACTTGCCCTGGTGTGATGCCCGTGGGCCAAGAACTAGGGGTAACGGATTTTCCACAAAATCACATCCACGCGATAGGTTTGCGAGCCTTGCAAAACCCAATCGGCTTCACCCGATAAGGCTTGACCAACCTTAACACGGATGGAACGCCGTACGAATACGGTTAGTAGAATAACAAATACATAACAAAAGAGAAATAAGACTAGCATAACTAAAGTGTCACTGAAATACAATTCAGAAAAGAGTTAAAATAGATAAAAAGAAAATGATGCACTATAGTAAAACAGAAAAACAAACACTTACGGATCACGAACAAATTCTGCTGTACCATTGCCAGCTCGAGCAACACCACCGATTAGTGCAGTGCTTACTCCTTGTCCAAGCCCTATAGTAAATACTCTGGCTTTGTCAACGTTCATTCGTACCAAACCGATAACCTAAATATTTATGAAGTAAATATTGATGAATAACAGAAATTAGTTATAAGGTACTTTAATAAACTTCAATTTTGAACAAGCTCTTAATTGCCTTAATTTAGTTTATAATTGAATAATCTCAGTAGTTCATAGAGTAATAGAGTTTATTTAATCACATTAACGCAGATTGATATTTATAAAAATGATATAATAATACGTTTGTCATATCCTCGTGAATCAATAATTTTCACCGAAACATTTTGTTCTTAATATTCTGCTGAATAGGAAATTGAATTTCTAACGATTTTCACCAAAGGAGACTTATATGAAGTCATGCAACATTAAAATTTGGAAGTTCTACTCACTGGAGTGTTAAAAACACATTTTTGTCTTATTACTATGAATAATTTAACTAATGTCTTATGTATTTGAAAGTATTAAGTCAAACCATAGTGGTGATACTTATAAACTGATTTTTAGTGATGAAGCAGTCTCAATTTAATGTCATATTGAAATATATTTATCCCTCTATTAATTAAATAGTTTGAAGTTGTTGATAATCAGGAAGCTAACACAATTTTAAGTATTATGTTTGAAATACGCTTGTATAAAAGGTAAACAGATGCTAACTAGGTGTCTGAAACACAATTAGATTTACAATATATAATACAAAGGCATACATTCGAAATTTTATCCTATTAAGCCATAGCTGTATAAAGTTCTGAAGACCAATACATATAACAACTAAACCGACCACCATCACATCCACTTCTACTCAACTAGGCTTACTTCACATTAGCATAAAAAGTTATGTAATTACAAATTATTTCATTTTGAATAAATTTATTACCTCCAAATACTGATTTTTGTGATTAATCATGAATGTTAACAGGCATTTAAAGCAAGAAAATAAATAAACACAATGTGAATACTACAATCGACCTTGTTGTTAACAGTAGGTAGTTGTATTACAACTTTAGTCCTTCAAAATAAGGGATGCGATCAAGTAAAAGAGTTAGAAATTACAAGAAAACAGAAAACATACCTCATCTGCATTACCTACATCACCGTCCGTAAGAAATATGATTTGTTTGAACCAACCTTCACCACTCGGTGTTGAATGTAGAGCCGACTTTAGAGCATTGTAAGCTTCTGTACCGCCCATATCAGCATTTAGGTCTTTTTGATAGTTCATTGCTGTATTTAACGATCCTTCAGAATAGTCTGTAGGTCTAATAATAAAAATAGTCATCCAACGAATTAGTAAATAAAAATGATACAAAAATTTATCCCTATCAGAAATAATGGTGAACAAAACACCGAAAAACAGCTATTTCATTAGAGCAGATTAACTGCGAATATTAACCTGAGTCCACTATCATGGTTTAAATTATGTTCATAACGTATCACCATCGCACCCACCGTGATAGTAAAAAAACATGCATAGTTGGTGAATACTTGATCTTTTCAAAGCACTGCTTGCATATGAGGATAACACGAAGTGAATTGAATTGTGGTTAGGTGTGGGGTATTAGTTTAGGTTGGCAAATAGATTAGTGAGATTGAGCATTCATCGGATGTGACTGGGGTATTGTGTTACATCGTTTTGACTTTAGTAGAACAACTAATCTGCTTAGTGTCAAATGAATCAAATATAAGGCGCAGTAAAGAGTGAATGAATGGCTAAAAATCTATACAAGACAGTACATCGAAAATCAAACTGAAAAGCAAAACTTATTTAAGATATTGGAGGTCTGCCATATAAGTATGTGCTGAAAACACCCAGAAATTCAAAAACGATAGCCCTAAACACAAGTGAGCAAATGTAGCACACTCCTTAATTGAATGGATGTTAAATACCAAAGACACAAAACCATGAAGCAATGACCAAATAAAGATCAAGGAGTTTTAGAAACCTGATTGGGAACAAATGGTGTAAATTAGCTGCGAGAGCAGGAAGGAACTTATGGAATATGAACATATTTTGATTACCGGCCACCATGGGACAGCATCTCGTGCATCGTGGACTAGGTCTCCAGGCTATGTGCCCACGAAACAGACCCCCAAGAATAACAACCGGATTCGGTTTGAAGAACTAAACAGAATCCTAAATCTTTAACAAATATTATGATGATTACTACTGAAGAAAATGTTTTCTCTTTGCTTCAGTATTCACCCAGAATGTATTTACAATCATATGGTTACATATAAAATTTTATGCAGCTATTGCTGCAACTAAATATCAAACCGAGTCATGACTGAGTTTAGACACTAGTTCACTGGCAAGTGTAGATGAGCATCGGCTGCCTCTGCATGACAATGTAGAACTGGTGGATTAAGTCGCTTAGTTTCTACAGACTCTTTACAACTCCTTGAAGCATCTTCATCTGGTAAACTACGAGTTTGATAGTAAGTGTAGATTCTTGATTCAAGTTTGTGTAAGGACTAAGGAACCCAGTGATTGTAGCGTACTAACTAGTTGAAAGCAGCAGATGCATCTGTCAGACGCTAGACTGCATTTAAACTTATCTGAATCACTGGAAACTAGAGGTCTGGTGCAAGTTAAAAATTCTGTGAAGTCGATAATACGCCATTCAGTAACATCTAATGGATTCCTGAAGGAGTTTTCTGAGGAATATCTTACCTGGTCTATGGCCCCAATATCGTCAGTCAAAAGATCTAGTACTCGCTGGTCGGTAACTACTGATACACCTAACGAGAGGGAAGTTCACTAAGAACTCCAAGTTATGAAATGCCATAAGTCATAGGGCCTAGACCCTGGTTCGGTTTATTGATGGTGGTAAACTTCTAGTCAAGGAACTGACTGGGTTGTTTGAAAAGGTATGGAACACAGAGATATTCCAACATCTTAGAATGAGGCGACCGTCATCTCCATCCCTAAAAAGACCCTACGCCACTTATGCAACAACAATGAGACAAGTTTACATTTGATCTCATCCACACTACTGATTTCCACCATACTTTGCAGATTGCTCGAAACCCGCGAAAGATTGACTCGTGATGAACAGGTTGGTGTTCGTTATGGTCGTGCACGTGCATATCGCATCCTCACTCCCTGTAAATGTTACGGCAGTGCCACACTTATCTCAAGCCAAAAATCATTGTTTTTTTGATTTCAGAGCTCCCCTCAATTAGTTGGACAGGACTATGTTCTAGAATTGTTTGTTGAATAACAGTGTGAATTAGGAGTTTATTAAATTCTCGAAGGCAAAATGAGGGCATAAAATCACTTCCATTCGTTTTTAAAATCCAGCCATGTAAAATATGACCATTTCTCCCCAACTTCGATAACACTCAGTTTTGAAGGAAGTACATGTTTGTGGCGATGATTCATTCCCCAGAGAAAAACGTCTCGACCCTGGGTATGGGAGTGACATTGTCCTGCTGTGAAGTGATACATCCACAATCTAAACTGAACTCGGTCGTAATTTTAATCGAGCTGTTTCTCTTATGATGTATTATTCTTGCTAGAGTGCTTTTATTTCTAACGCTCCTTTTCCATGACTTATTTCATTACAACATTCTCTTTAATTTGCATGATGATCACTATTTCTGGTGCCTTGCAGTACCAGATTTTATGCATTAAATAAAACAACTATAAACGTCTGATCGCGAATTCGACTAAGAGTGAATAATGATTTTGGATTTGCAAAGTGAAAACGGGAACTGATTGTATGAGAAGTGGAAATGCCCATGCATCTTTCCGTATACTATTGATTATTTAGTCATCTTCAAGGTACATGATTCTTGGGGAAAGCTGATGAGTCATCACAATATTGACTGTAAATAACATTCTACTTACTCTGAAAATAAAGCAGCAAAATCACTCCCGAAGCCAATAATTTGAAAACGACAACTCATAGGTAAGCTCTTTAAGAAGAGGAGAAGGGAGGTCTTAGCGTAAGAAATGTTATCACCTTCCATACTACCTGCAAATTCAAGTAAAAATTTGTGTTATTCGTATTCACAAGTTACTAAGGACAATAATAAAGATGAGAATACCAACGAGTTATAGAGTAATGACTTCAGTTTAAACTTCTAAAGTGAGTCTCAATTCCTGTTAATGGCGACGTTAAAAACAATGAAAACAGAAGACTGTGAAGTGGAAATTTACCGAATTACGAAACTTTTCGTGATCATCAGTAATTGGTAAAAAGTATCGGTCATACGAGAAACCCTACACGGTGGAACTTAGTTGACAGCTCTCGTGACATTCACTGTGAAGGATTCAATCTAAAATATTTTATGAGAACCATGAATAAACGAAGCAAATGCTATTCAGTACTGTCGTAAAATCGATTATACACATAAATTATCTGTTAACTCAGCATCACATACACTGGTGTGCACTCAGGTCACTGTAATTCACAGTACTAAATAACCCTGTCGCTTCGAAAACCTAGTTTTACATGCGTTTATCCGGGGACCCTGTGACATCTTCGTCTGGTCTTGCTGGCGTTGGTGTCACACTAAGTGCTAGAGCTGAGGCAGTACTAATTGATTGGATCCCCATTAACAGTCGTTTATGTGCTTTTAGATTAGAAAGTTCCGTCGAAGTGAGAAATCGGCGTGAAAAACGATGACTTTCTGGCTAAGGAACTGACGATATTGTTTACAAAGGTTCGGGTGTTAGAGAGTGTACCAACGTCATGGAATGAGTCGATAGTTGTCCCTATCTTTAAAAAGGGTTCACGTCGTTCCTGTAACAACTATCCGGGAATAAGTCTACTTCCGATCGCGTCCAAGCTATTGGCTTCCGTCATACTTCGTAGGTTGTCCAAAACCCGAGAAAGATTGACTCGCGAGGAGCAGGCTGGGTTTCGTTCTGGTCGGGGATGTATTGATCATATCTTTACCCTCCAACAAATGTTAGAACACCGCCATACTTTTCAAAGGCCAACAATCGTAATGTTTCTTGACATCAGGGCTGCCTTCGATTCGTTGGATAGGACTGTTCTCTGGGATTGTCTATTGAAGAAGGGTGTGTCTGAGAAGTTTATTTACATCCTAAAAGCCCTATATACAAACACCTCAGGCAGAGTGAGGGCATACAACCACCTTTCTCCATTGTCTCTTTCAAGCAGTGTGATTAGACAGGGTCGCTCAATCTCACCATTCCTCTTCAACTTTGCCATCGATGACATTCTGGAAACAGCTCTGATGGATGTAAGTGATGGCGGTGTGGATCTGCTGCCTGGAGAAAGACTTCTCGACCTTGAGTATGCGGACGATATTGTCTCACTGTGCGACAATGTCCAAGTCATGCAATCCACACTTAATCAGTTGGCAATCAATGTCCGTAGGTACGGTATGTGCTTTGCAACTTCGAAGTGAAAAGTACTTCTACAAGACTGACAGGATTCTAATCCTGTACTCACCCTGGATAGTGAGCAGATACAAGTAGTCGAGAAGTTCGTGTATCTAGGTAGCTGCATAAGTACTGGTGGTGGCGTGAGTGATGAGATCAATGCACGTAAAGTGAAAGCCAGAGCGGCTCATGCCAATCTGGGCCATCTTTGGCGCCTTCGTGATGTCAGTCTAGTTGTAAGAGGTTGGATCTACAACGCGTCGGTGAGAGCAGTTCTGCTCTGTGCTTGTAAAACCTGGTCTCTCCGAGTTGAGGACGTTAGACGACTCTCTCTATGTGTTCGATCATCGTTTCCTCCGAAGGATTGCTAACATCCAGTGGCAACACCATGTCAGTAATGCAGAGGTTCGGCATCGTGTGTTCAGGCACAGAGACGATAATCCAATTGGTGTCACCATCTCGAAACATCGACTTCGGTGGCTTGGACATGTTCTACGAATGTCGTCCCACAGAATTACACGTCGTGCATTATTTGCCGACTCTGGGACTGGTTGGAAAAAGCGGAGAGGTGGTCAGTGTATGACATGGTGTCGGGGTATGAAAGAAAGCTGCAAAGGAGTGGCTTCTGTTGGTCCTTAACCACTCCCTGGTTGGGGTCCGACAGATGGTGCGACACAGTGGCTAGAGACGTTATCAGTTATGGCTCAGAATAGAAGCCAGTGACGATCATGCTGTAATCTTCTTTTACTTTCTTCATAAAAAGTGGTTGTATCTTCCTTAACTGAAGGATTTATTCTGGTTATACCTTTCCGTCTCCCCCATTATTATTATTACTATTACACTACCTTACACTAATCTGGTCGTTATTCTTTCTCTTTTTTTCTCTTCCCATTCTCATTGTTTTGTGTGGCGCATATATATTTGGTGCCCCCTTGTACCAATATTTGTATGTTCAAATAAATAAATAAATATTTGTGGATGCTTAGATGTGATCTTGTTGTTAAAAGCCACCAAAATACTGAGCTAACCAGCAACCATCAAAACTGTATCCAGTAGGACGAATAAAAAAAGTGAAATGACGAACCTGAACGATCGATTAAAAACACGAACTCATATCGCATGTCTTTAGAACTAACGACATTAGGAATATCAGGCAAAAGCTGTACCATCAAACAGTTCATAGCCAATATAGACGACTGGTTCGGATCACCATATTCCAGAGATGCCAGAGATGTAAGTGGATCAGAAAGACTTAGGACCATTTGAAGATCATGATCTGGTATAAACTCAGAGGAAAGTTTGACCTAAAACATGAATCAAATTAATTAATTCGTGTGAATTAACAATCAACTACAGATTTATGAACATGGTTTCAAGTCATATTGTTTTGACGATTATCAACACTACCTTAACGCCCAGACAGGGCTTGAGATGTAGTGATCAAGAGTTGAATAGTTTGACCACCATACCATAGTCCCAGTGACCGAGGGGAATGGCTGTAAAGTCCTTATTTTCATGCTATGGAAAACCAACAAGTAAATCAACTGGCTCCCATCACTCAATAGGTTTTAGATTGTTATCCCATGAAGGACTAAACCAAGATGTCATTTCTCGTATCAAACACTAAAGATATCTTCAAAAAATAAGTTATTAAAAAATTGTGTTAACGGTTTCATTTCAAAAAACAAAATTATAGTGCTAATTCCATGTAAAAACTTAGGAATTATGTAATCTCAAATATACTGTTAAGACGGCGTGAAAAATCTGACTAGTTTTGATTTCATCTTTTGAGTTTCAGGACAAATCATGTGGATAGAACGTTATTACATGTAACAAACTGAATTGAAACCTTTTTGTTTCACAAACCTGCGGCAGATCTCTGATTTCTTTAACTATTGCAAATTGTATTACCCGAAATATTTATGCATGATAGAATAATAAATTCTTCTTAGTATGTAGTGTTATAAACTGACTTCAAGTAGTAGAGTAGTTAGGCGAGTACAGTTATTTTGAATGATGAAGACTATTTGCTATCCGCTGATAACAAAACCGGGAGATAAAAACACTAGCCATCCACTTTACAACCAACGCGTTAGCGACTAGATGCTTACAATGCATGAATAAGTTGTTAAAGATAAATGTAGGACCAAACTAGTCTCGCGCAAAACGTAACTAAACTTGAAAGTCAAGAGCCACGATAAAAGCGTAAATTCGGGATTATGCAATAACTAGAAGCCCACTGTGCATGTCCCGCATTTTTTTTCAGCAAGAAAGGGTAGGCCTACAAGAAGCACCTTGAGAATGTATAATACAAGACAGTATGTTTAGCAAATTTAATTGTATTCCCATAGTCGAAAGTAGATAATAAAAATATTGGAAAATAACTTGAAATTTCTAGAACAAACAAGTCTATTCTGGTGAATTAAAATAAACATGACCACCACTCTGAATGAGTAGTATTACTTCTGTAAACATATGACCTTTAGTGGAGGCAAGTCATGAAAACAATGAAAAACAGAATACTTGATACCTCTAGAATCGATATAAAAGAACAACTTTAGACCACTAAGAAAACAAAAAATGCTGAAGCTTACAAGGCCATGATTAGAATTGTTTGTACAGTTCCAAGTGAAACTATCACGTGTTGATTTGACATCCAGAATTTTTGACGGCATCCAAAGTTCAGATTCAAATGTTATTGTGTAGGGCACAGAATTCACAAGCACAAGCTCCGTAAACTGCTCAAACTCGTCGGAATTCTTTTTTTCTGGATTGAAATTAAACAAAACATAATTATTTACCTTTCGGGTAGTAACGCGGGTTGATAACGCTTGGCAAAGTTAGGATAATTTCAGAGTGGCTAAACTTAGATGTATCTGTCTTCATGTTTTTTCCTTCTATCAGTCCAACATATTGTAGAACTATAGCAACCTTTCCATTTGGCGGTATGTTCCCGATGTTCATTTTAAATAAATCAGCACAATGTTCATCCTGTTCGGCCAAGATTGCTGTGTGCCCTTCTTCAACAGCACTGTCATACGTTTCTTTAGCCTTCATTGAAGTAAAATAAAATAAATAACACCATTAAGCTATTTGATAAAGTGGAGGTATACTCTACTTTATTCTGGATGACCCGAAACTAATGTAAAATAAGTAGTTATAAGGCTACTTATCAGAAAGTGAAAAGGTCACTCGTTTTTATATAATAAAAAGCTATTCACTAAATAAATATTGGAGAAACCCAAAGTTATAATCATACCTCTGAGTGATAGCTATATCTTGCAAGTTAGTAATATTTGCTGTTTTTTAAATCATGAATAAATCAAGTTCCCAATCTATTTCTAACTAAGAAGCGCTGATATTCAGTAAAACATTTTCGCGGCATAAACTATGTAACAAAAAGTAAACTTGAAAAATCACTTTATACCACAAAGTTTTCCACAATGATCGACCTGCCAGTTTAGAAGACTCAATCCAACTCTTGTCTCATAAGCGCTGTTATTTCCTATCCAAACTACATGCTTAGATAACTATCTTTATTATTAAATGAGTTTTTTTGGTTCAAAACCATGATTCTCTCAAACTGCATTGGAAGCAAAAGTATGTTGCCATGTTAATACATTTGATGATTCACGTCATTTACCCTGAACTTCTCGAGTCATCATATACATAAATATTTGTCCCAGTAACCTTGATCCCTCTTATATGTGAGTATGTATGTACGTCTTTTGATCACTTACTCTATTTGCTACCCGTTTTAGATTGTCTTTAACTACCTGTACGATTGCTAAATCACTTAGTGAGATAGAGTTGGCTGGAAAGCCTTTCTCAACACTACATTTTATACGTCTAATCTGTACAATTATATGAAATATACCCCTCAGAAACACTCATATTCCCATTTCAAATAAGCCGTTATATGAAACGTGTAAAGTTGATTATATATATAAACTAGTCGCAAATATGTTTTGGGGAGGGAGAGTAGCTCTATTCATTAAGAATGCTATCGTATTTGCTATTATCGACAGTGTACCCCATGAGAGTGGGACGTGTGAATTAGTTAGTTGCCGCTTGAAATGTAAGGGACAAGAGCTGATGATTGGTTTGGTCTATTGCAGCCCAAGTTGTGAGGTAAAGGAGGTCCTGCTAAGCAGTCTCAATACTTGTCCACAAAGTGGTCGATGTCTAATCCTAGGGGATTTTAATACACCCATGGTATATTGGGAAAATATGCGAACCGAATCGTCAGAAAATTCCTTCGAGCAGGAACTAGTTGATACGGTTATCAGATGTGCCCTAGTGCAACATGTGAAAGAAGCGACTAGGTACGACCCGGACACTGAATCACCCTTACTAGATCTTATATTGACTCACTATGAGGATGACGTTGCGAACCTCCTTCTCCGTAAGAGAAGAAAAATGTGGGATAGATTTAGGTTACTGGGGTCTGATGAAACAAAATCTCAGTATCGAAAAGCTCGGAATACCTGTGCCTCGACCCTCCGTAAGTCTAGAAAGTTGTAAGAAGAAAAAATTGTTAAGGAATCCATAGAATGTCCTAAACGCTTGCATTCCTATATAAACCAAAGGATAAAATGAAGAGGAAATATTCCTGCTCTATAGGGAGACAGTACTGCCGCATCAATAGTGGAGGACGACTTTGGTAAGGCTCAAGTGTTCTCGGACTACTTTAGCAATGTATATACCATAGAGGCACCCTTCCCGTCAGCGCGTACAAATCCCCCCACACATACACTGGACAGCGTGACCATTAAAGAACTAGATGTCTTTGGTCTGCTAAATAAGCTTGATATAGGTAAATCCATGGGGCCCCATGAATTGCATCCTGAAGGAATTATCTAATATCGTCGCGAACCCTTTAAGTATATGCTTTAATCTATCCGTAACGCAGGGTCGTTTACCAAAAAACTGGAAGGACGCCATAGTAAGTCCTGTCTTTAAAACAGGTACGAAACATAAACCTGAGAATTACCGACCCGTTAGCCTAACTAGTAATGTTGTTAAAATCTTAGAAAAGATTATTCGGAAGGAGCTGTTTAAGTACCTCGATGAAAACCGGATCCTTTTGGAGAAACAGCACGGCTTCAGAATAGGTTATTCTTGTCTCACTAACTTATTAGTCGCTCGTGAAAGCTGGTGCGCTATTAAGGACCAAAAGTTACCTGTAGACGTAGCCAACATTGATTTCAGAAAAGCTTTTGACAATGTTCCGCATATTCGGCTGTTATACAAGCTAAGAAATGTCGGAATTAGAGGCAATCTATTGATGTGGATAAAAGACCTCCTAGTTGCGCGCCAACAAAGAGTACGGGTGAACTCAAAGTGATCTAGCTGGGAAACTGTGCTTAGTGGAGTGCCCCGGGGTACAGTTTTGGGGTCAGGACTATTCCTCTTGTATGTAAATGACCTTCCCCGGTTCCTATCATCATTGGTCTTGCTATATGCTGACGATGTCAAGATATGGAGAACGATGAGATGAAAGAGTGATAGCTTAGAACTCCAAAATGACCTGAAGAAATTATCTGAATGGTCTCAAACCTGGCAGTTGTCGATAAATACTTCCAAGTGTGTTGTGATGCATATCGGTCATCAAGGTACAGATACATATACGATCAATAACACTGAGCTACCTGTCGTCCAGACACATAATGACTTAGGAGTCATCGTTAGCCAAGACTTAAAGACTACTGCACACTGCCGCGCAATAGCCGCCAAAGGTTCTAGAACCTTATGGTCAATACGTGGGGCTTTTAGTTATGTTGACGCTAAGACGTTTTTGACTTTATATACAGTGTTCGTACATCTTAAACTTGAGTACTGCATACAAGCGGCTATCCCCTGTTTAGAAAAAGACAGTGAGCTTCTGGAAAAGTTTCAGAGAACAGCAACTAAGCTGAATCCCGGAATAGCGAAGCTTCCGTGTGATGCCGGACTGGCCAAGCTGAACCTTTTCCCGTTGTCATATCGCAGAACTAGAGGCGACTTGATTACAGTCTACAGATTGCTTAGTGATAAATTTGCACCTGATATGCCCTCATTTTTCTTGTCTTCCAAAACAGAGAATTTGCGAGGACACTCCAAAAAAGTCCATAAGTCGAGAACAAATTACTTGTCAGCTGACTATCGACTTTCCCATTGAATCATCAACGAGTGGAACTCATTACCCCAGCACGTGGTTGAGGCTCCATCCGTCGATTCTTTCAAAAGAAAGTTGGACCAACTGAGAGACCACCATTGCCAGGACTAACACAGGCCATCAAGCCTCCTGTCCTTCCCAAACTGAAACTGAAACTGAAAGCATGGACTGAATACAATCGAGTTATAGCTTTGACATTTCAATAAGTAAAACGATATAGAAAGTACGCTGAGTTGCATTTTAACACACAAAACCATGTTTATATGTACAATAAGGACCGTTTGGACCCATTATCATTAACGATAAGAACTGAAAATAATCAGTGGAGCATCGTTCACCGAATATTATTGTTGCACGGATATTAAAGACAAACTAGAAGAAACATTTCTGTAAACGTTTGAGTCTTATTGTGCAATTATGCAAATTTTCTATTATAAACAACGCAATCCAGTGGTATAATTACTAACTTTCCCGACTATATACAAGTAAAATGGCAATTTAGCCTACTTACCTCTGCACGTGGACGACACACGGATACTATTTTTTTGTCACCGATTTGTGCCTCGAAATGGTAAACCGCCACATTGTTCAATGGAAAAACAAATGACGCCTCCAGAGCTTCTTGTAATGAGTTTTCGTACAAGAACTCTACCTTGACGTCTGAAAGCATATTTACTACCCTACATTTTATTTGAACACTCTTCAATGGAACATTCATGCATGATCCTTCGCACACAAGGCCAAGGTATTTATAACCCGATATGTTCCAACCAAAGTTCATTTATTAACTTTCAGTACGTCACTTAGGTAGATGCGTTTGAGATATTCTGAAAAAGAACAACAGAAAAAGATCGCCAATGACATATTCAGAACATAGAAGGCACTAAATGCAACCGACATCAGTCAGTAAAAATACAAGTATAAAATTAGGACAATGTGACGATGGAAAATAAAACTAAATACCCCAAGGTATCTTAACGTTACAGTTTACACAATTGAATAATCCCAAGCAAATAATTTCCCATGTGATTGATTTAAACAAAACATGTATCAGAATCTTTGATAAGACAGTCAAAGTTAAAAAAAGAAGGCAAAACCGTTTATAATCAAGGTTTGTGTACGGTAATCGAAACCTTTATGAAATAATTAGATTCAGATTTGTGTAGTAAAGACAGAAGGCCTACGGCCTATTTTATTCCTTTCCTAGTATGCTCCTGTGAGTGCCCAGTTTTCTCTTGAAAAAGTCAATTGAAGATGCGAACACCACTGCATTGAGCAGTGGGTTCCAAGTATTGATGACTCGGTGCGAAAACCTGTATGCCACGGGTATTATTTTCGTTCTTGTCTTTTCTACTCGCCTGCTATGTCCTCTGAGATGTCCCGATCTAGGAGGAAGAAAAAAAAGGGAATACGTTAGGTCTGAAATCATTTATCAGCATTCTGTGCATTAAAATCAGATCGCCCCTTAGTCTTCGATAGGTCAGAGTAATGAGGTCCAGCTTTTCATTCTCTGTTTGTATGGTAAACCTCGGAGTTTTGGAATCGCACGGGTAGCTACCCTCTGTATTTTTCTAGGATTTCCGAGTCACCTTTTAAACAGGGGCTTGCAGCCTGAACGCAGTTCTTAAGCTTAGTTCTCACTAACTCTGTGTATACTGTGGTGAACGTGGTACTATCTAACTTAGTGAATGTCCGTTTTAAAGCCCATAGAGTTCTAAACTTCTTAGCTGAGACCTCCCGGCATGGGCCGTCGTCTTAAGATCATGACTCACTGTCACCGCCAGATCTTTGAGACCGGACAACGAGTACTGGCACTTCCTTTATGCACTACCAATTAACTTTTGTATCCTCAAAGTGCATGTATACACCTTTTGCCGCGTTGATAGGCATCAGCCACTTTTTAAACCAGTTAGTCATATGATTTAAGTCTACATGAAGAGCACGTGCATCTGCGTCTCCAGTTATTACTCGCCAGATCTTTACATTGTCAGCGTATTGGGGACCTTACTATCCTTTGGAGATCATTAACATACATTATAAAAAGTAAAGGACCTAGGATGAAACATTGAGGTACCTCACTAAGTACTGGTCTCCAGATGGAGCACTTGGAATTTATTCTTACTTTCTGTCTAAGACCTACTAGGAAATCCTTAATCCATTTTAAAAGAGGTCCGGCAATACAAAGGTTTTCCAAATTCAATAGCAGTTTATTAGTTGGCACCTTGTCGAAAGCCTTACTGAAGTCTATGTAGACAAAATCCACTGAGTTTCCGTTGTCTAGTGCCTTTATCCTAAATTCCCTTGCTATAAGGAGGTTCGTTGTACAAGATAAACTCTTACTGAAACCATGTTCTTCTCTGTTTAACAAGTGATTGACTTTACTTACTTTTACTTACGCCTGTTACTCCCAATGGAGCATAGGCCGCTGACCAGCATTCTACAACCCACTCTGTCCTGGGCCTTCTTTTCTAGTTCCATCCAATTCTTGTTCATTTTTCTCATGTCTATCTCCATTTCTCGGCGTAATGTGTTCTTTGGTCTTCCTCTTTTCCTTTGGCCTTGAGGATTCCATGTGAGGGCTTGTCTTGTGACGCAGTTGGGTGTTAACAAGTGATTGGTTTCCATGAATACCATTATGGTCCGTTTGACTATTCTTTCCGATATTTTAACTATTTAACTGGTGAGGTTCACAGGTCTGTAGTTCGATGGAAGTTGTCGTGGTCCTGTTTCATGTATTAGAGTTACGATTGCGTCCTTGCAGTCCATAGGTAACACACCTTAGTCAAGTGACATATTGAGTATCACATTCAGTGGATCCGCGATATATTATGTAATATGTCTCAAAGTTTTGGGGTGTAGTTTATCTGGTCCTGTTGATTTTTCCATGTTTAAGGTGCTGAGAGCCTTAAGTACATCGTCTTGATCGAAGTCCACGGTGAGCAGGTGGTTTGTTGACTCTTTATTTTGGTCTAGTTTATTGTCTAGAAGAGGTTCATGAATGAAAACTGCCACAAAATAGTCAGCCATAGCCTCTGCCTTTTCCTGATCTTCCTCTGCCGTTTCAGGTTCACTCCCTTCTTTAATTAGGTTGGGAATCCAATGATGCATCCTTGTTTTGTAGTTTATGTACGAGAATATTGCCATGGTTTGCTTCAGTGCAGATTATGCTAACTGCATTTAATATTTTCTTTGAGCTTCCCGAATTTTTGTTAAGCACTTGTTTCTTACTGATCTGTAGCATTCCGTCGTATCTGATGTGCCAAGGCGGTTAGCAACATCCCAACATCTCTTCTTTTGTCCTAGTAAACGTCGAATATTCCGGCCTATCCAGGAATGGCCATGCTTCTTCCTCTTTGGAACTGTCCAGGGCATGAATGGTTGAGTTACCCTATTGTATGACTGCCTGAAAAGAGTTCATGCCTCTTATACCGATGCCTTAGAGTCAATTTCTCAGTTTACAGTCTATACTGCACAGTTGATTGCTTTCATGTAAGTCTTCCATATGTTAGGACGGACCGGTGCAACTGTTCGACAGGGAATCTCAGCAATGAATTTGGATAAGATGACTGCATGATCGCTTCTCCCTAGTGGTGGGAGAAAAGTCATTTGACCAACGTCGTCACCGTGTGTGAAGACTAAATCTAAAAGAGTAGAAGTTTCTTAAGTCATATCTTGTGGGATTTCTAATGTGTTGGAATAAAGCTAATCCAATCGAGGTTTCTAACAGTTCTCAATCGAACGACTTTATCGGTGACCCTACTTCTGAGTTACTCAATTTATATGCGGTGCATTAAAGTCACCTACTACACGGCTTTTACACTTCTTACGCCAGGACTTGAGTTTACGTAGGAGAAAATCATCTGTTACACATTCTGGACTGCGATATACTACAACTAATTCAATATCTTGCCGTCTACATTTCAGCTTACATCGCACCAGTCCACATGTTCCTGAAACATATGCCAGTGTCTCAGCCACTTTTATGGTTAGGGTACTTTACGTGTACAGGATAACCCCGCCTCCCTTATGGTTTAATCTTTCAGCCCAACTGGATAAAAAACCAGTCAATTGGATTTCACTATCTAATAGTTCTGACGTTAACCAGGTTTTTGAGACAGCAATGACGTCCGGTTTTCCTTTATCCACCGTTGACTTGAGCTCCGCCATTTTATGTAGTAGGCTGCGAGCATTTGTGTAGCATACCTGTAAGTCTGTGAAGAACTTTCTCTTACCGCCCAGAGTGATTTGGGGATCGTTTCGCTTCGAACTTTTACAGTTTTAAAACACTTGAAAACGAGGTTTCGGCGACGCTCATCTATTTCCACTTCTGAAGCTCGTCTCTTAATACGATCATCTAGGCTAAGATCCTCACGGACGTGTATTCCGGATCCGATCAGTTTACGTGAGCTACCTAGGATCAGGTTCCTTTCTTCAACCGTGGCAAATGTGACCTTCAAAAGGCGGCTTTTCTGAGGACTTTCATAATTCACCTTTTGTCCTATTCTATAAGGCTTACAGTTGCTAACTCCTGAAACCGTATCTGGGAGTAGTTTGCTTATTTAGGACTTAATATGACTGATATCGTGTTCAAATCTAGCCTTTGGTTCCCTATCGGAAAATTCTGTTAACTTATGAAAAAAGACTGAACTCTCAGAGAGATATGTTTTGACACTCAGTGGAGTTTTGTTTCTGATACCGTCTCTTCTAACGACTTGCTAACCAGCTGTGTTTTGACTACAGCTTTTATCTTCTTATTTCTTTTTCTCCGTACTGGAGTCCATCTATCACCACTCAGGACAGCCACCTCAGGACTATTTGGAAAGGTGACAGTTTTATCCGGGTTTTCAATTTCCACTAGAGGTGTATGATTACCGATATCAATATCAAGTGGCACTTCACTCCTCGTTATTGTTAACGGGGATTTCACTTTCCCGTCAATCACAGTCATGTGTTTAACGAGTCCGGTAGCCGCACGTACTACACTGACACGTTCTTCACCGTCAGTGCTCGTGTTGTCAGCGTAACCACCATCGTTTTCCCTACAGTCCAAATCCAATAGGCTCATAACCTCATGAATTAGTAACTTCTTATTTGTACAGCAAAACATACGAAGCCAATGCTTCGAGCATCTTTTGTATGCCATAAGACTTAGGACTTCGTCCAATATAATCCCAGTGATCAGGTCTTAGCTTGTTGATTTGTTTGAGCTCAAATTCTAATGTTATATACGTTCCCAGGTCATTGATATCATCTATTAAAGATAATAAGGCCACTCTGTTGCACCAGTTTTAACGGATTTGACGGTAAACCAATGACTGCTTTGTCACCTCTTTTAAAAAATCTGTTTGCCCTCGAATGTTGCGTTGCTGGTATGGGCAACAATCGATGTGCAAGTCAATCGGCTAATTTATTTAGCCTAAAAGGGATCTTTAAAACTATAATAAAGGAAAATAGGTAAATCAAGGGCTGCCTAATGCAAGTTGGCTAAATATTCGATTCAACAAGTAAGCGAATGAATGGAAAGGTAAGTAAAAATAGAGTAAAAATGGAAATTATGAGTAATAGTTTACGGTAGCCATGATGACAATGACCAAAACTGACGGGTTATTCTCAAGCTATGGTACAGTAATGTTGATGAATACGAACTAATTTTATCAGTTAATATGCATAATTTAAACCTAAATATATGCTGTAGCTATGAGTATGTGCATGGTATTCAAGTCTCTTCTTAAATCTTCCTGCTGAGAAAACTGTGACTGCGGCTTCTGGAAGACAGTTTGA